TAATCTTTGTGGTTTCTCGGTTTCTCCATTCTAACAAATTTACAGTTTGCTTATCGCCATTTTGTTAAGCGTTAATTTTATCGCCTGAAGATCTAGCACTGTAGATTAAATATTTGCTCTTAAATCTACTTATAAGGCGGAATCAACTAGTTTTATCCGCGTAGGTAATTTCCTCATGATGAATTCATGTTTAATATTGGCCCATTGTGAATTACCTAAATGTACATTATTTTGTAAAAATGTACGAAAATATATAAAAAGGCGTGCTTGTAAAGCGTGATGAGGCTGCTCGTTAAATTCGGCTCCATCACTACCATTGAAGTCTGGAGGTCAACAAATGTGCATTGGAGCATTTCGGTCAACGACCACAGTGTTTATAATGCCATCTATAAAAGGCTCTTTATTAAAATGTTCTCAAATTTTGAAACTGATATGATAGGAGGAGGCTTAGCTATATAATTAGATTTATGGATTACGTATAAGAGATAAAGATCTTTAACAGACTTCACGTGTTTGTTACTCGACTAAGGATGTCGTTAAACATGTTCGCGTTGTTTGTATTATCTTTATAAATCGCCAAACAATAACTATACAACCGATGACAAACTGAGATAAAATTAACGATGAAGGTATATCTGATTGGGTGAAAGGTGAAAGAGACAAAATTGATTTGGATTGGAACGTTACGTTTACGTTTAACGACTAACAACCCACCTCACACGATCTGACTACTCGTTCTACCTATGGTGATATAGGTCGCGGCACGTAACTCCAGCGCTGAACAAAATGCGGAGAGGATAGCTGTGCATGGGTACGACTGGAGAGCCAATCGGCGCAAAGCGCGCTCACCCGCGCACCTCGTTTTCCCCCCAAGACATCGTAATTTTTACTTCTGCGCAATAACAGTCAGCGCTAGTTTCATGCCGCGCATTATACGATCGACATTATTGTTGATCGAAGGGTATGAGAAATAATTTAAACAAACCTGTAATAAATAACCAACGTATTGTCTAAGTCTATCATACAAAAAATAGGAATAAAAGTACCTAATTTCGCAAATGCATTTAAATAGCGATATCTGATAAAAAATATGTGTGATTAGAATATCCTGATGAATTAAAGAATCAGAGGCAACACAGGAAGAACGGGTGAAAGATCAACCAGGATGTAGAGGAAACTAAATAAATAAAATTTAATCACGTGGCTGTGAATTTTCGTCAACCAGGACGATTCAAATCTTTGCACCCACGTATGTTCGCGGCAGGGACACAAAAACATAGAACTAAAATCTGCTGCTGAAGATACCCTATGTCAAATCATTAAATTTAATTGTCATCTCTGAGTGAGGTCGTCATTATCAATAAGTATTGTCTTTCATAATGCACCATTGATATTCAAGCCTGTGAAGGCATTCTCACTCAATGAATGCCACATTCAGTGACGAACCTCTATTCCTAGATAATAAATTAACCCGTGTTAAAGATAGACTGATTATGTTCTGCGTGTCGCATTGCATGCACAACGCGTTATGTATTGCCTGCAACGATATTAAATTGGCTGGGTAAAGGTTGCTTTACAATGTCATTTAGGTCATTTGAATTGCAGACTGGATGGAAACGAATGTCTGATTGTATTCGAATGAATACTTTGGATCACTAAAAGCTTTGTAATGCTATTGATTTGTTGTGATATCTACTATCTAGCTTTTCAAAGACATAAATAATGGATGGCGCGAGTAGTGCGCGTTCAGGAGCTGCGCTCGTTGAAGTTAAGCAACTATCGCAGTGGTCGGTCATTGGATGGGTGACCAAAAATCTTCTTTCTCGAGTTCCTCCGTGCTTCGGAAGGCACGTTAAGCCGTTGGTTCCGGCTGCATCTGCAGTCGTTAGCACCCGGCAATCTATCTAAAACTATCGTCTCCTTTTCATGCATGGGACCCCCCACGAACAGGGCCGGTTTTAGTACTACCAGCGCCCTGAGCGAAATTTCTGCATCGCCCCTTAACTGCTACTCAAACCCATACGATAAAAGGCAAAGGGTTTAATGAAAATACTTACTAATAAAATTTTAATTTTCTAGCCTTTCTATAGGCGAAATCCTTTTATAAATTTACCAAAGTCGATGTTTTCTGCAATATTATTTTCATTGACAAAGTTGTCAATTTGGATAGAAATATTAAGGGAGGCGATGGTGGAGGGAGTGAATGCAACCCTGGAAGCTGTTTCCCTCTGTGGTGAAGCCAACTTGGTTGGATTCAATCCCTCTAAAACACAGGCCTGTCTCTTCTCGACGAAACGGAGTCCATTCCATCTGACCCCGACTTTCCGGAATGTCTCCGTGCCGGTTAAAGACCATCTCGAGCTCTTGGGTATGGACATCTCATGCAGCCTCAATTTCGGTCGCTACATCGAGTCCATTGCTAAAACCGCTGCCAGAAAACTTGGAATACTTTCTAAGGTCAGGCGATATTATACATCTCAGCAGCTCCTTAACCTTTACCGAGCCCAAGTTCGCTCCTGCTTGGAGTACTGTTGTCACCTTTGGGACGGATCTGCTCGGTATCAGCTGGATGCACTGGACTCGGTGGAACACCGTGCGAAAAGACTCATAGGCAATGACGCTGTCGTTGAGGCTAATCTCCAGAGCCTTGACCACCGAAGACGTGTAGCTTGCCTCTCGGTGTTTTATCGGTTACATTTCGGAGAGTGTGCGGAGGTATACATAATTTGTGATCCCCCCTTCCCCTTTCCACCACCGGACGACTAGGCGCGGCGAGGGCTTCCACCCTTATGTTGTCGAAGTTCCTCCCATTCGCACGAAGCGATTTGCTTCGGCCTTCATATGCGAACGGCTAGGGAGTGGAACTCCTTGCTAAGTTCTGTTTTCCCGGACCAATATAATCTGGACATCTTCAAGGCCAGAGTGAACAGGCATCTTCTAGGCAGGCGTGTACCATCCTAGGCCTCGTCATCGCTTTCCATCAGGTGAGATTGTGGTCAAACACATTTAACTGATAATCTTTGGAGAAGGGCGCCCCGTCGGCGCCCCCTTATATCCAGCGCCCCTCTTACGCCGCTACAGCCCATGAAAGTCTAAATATTCGGCTTCGGGCAAGCACTCTACATCAAAACCTACGAAAATTTCAGTTCTGTAACTCGCATTCCGTTTTCGATGTTCTTGAGACTCGTGACATACGGTCAGACAGACGACAGAGTGACATCAATAGGGTTCCGTTTATTAAATAAGTCTCAGGCTTTGATTATTTACTCTAATAAACAAAGGTCCCTGACCAAACCAATTCTTAATATGATGTAGCGTCATTGTAAATTAATTGATGAATGTCTGCTTAGCTGTGAATGTGATGGACACACCTTTTATTCTCCAACATTTAACACAAGGAATATGTGTGTGTGAATGGTGACATTATATAATACTTTAGTATAATAGAAAACTATTTTTTCCTAATATTCCCTTGTATTTTGGCCATACACGGTCACACGCTACGCTTATGTTTATCTGTTTAGGAAAAAAATGCGTCTAAAGAAATCAATACTGTTTTAAAATTATGATTCACAATCACAAACGCGTTGTTTGGTTGTATTGCAACGAAAAAATAACATCTTCAATATAAAACATAAACAATAAATCACACTAATATTATAAAGGCGAAAGTTTGTGAGTGAGTGTGTATGTTTGTTACTTCTTCACGTCTAAACAGCTGGAGCGACTTTAATAAAATTTGGTATGGAGTTAGCTGACACCTGGGATTAACACATAGGCTACGTTTTACTGCGGGAAAATATCCCTAATAAACCGTGGGGACACCGCGGGGCATAGCTAGTACTTAATAAAGATAATATTATAGTGATAAATGATTATCACTATAACTATTTAATTATATGTATAGGTAACGGTAACCGTCCATGCTTTGAACATGTGGCGAATTAGCGTACTCTCGTTTGTTTAACACGAATCACGTGAATGGCAACTGTGCACATATAGTCATTGTTTATTTTTAAGTAACTTTACAGTCACTCTCATTTTTCGCTCATATTATTATTACTAGCGACCGCCCGCGACTTCGTACGCGTGGTGTTAGTTAGATATAAAGGTTCACTGCTCGTTCCCCGTAGGTGATAGCGTGATAATATTTTGAAGCCTAATATGTTGACCCGCCTTCTTAATAATATTCGTGACAAATTTGAAGTAAATCCATGCTGTACTTTTTGAGTTTATCCCGGACTTACATACAAGCAGACAAAAATTCTAAAAACTATATTTTTGCCTTCGGGATCGACTGTAGATCACACCCCAAGTATTCTTTAAAAAAAATATTCAATGTACAGTTTTGACTTTCCTACCATTTTATTATATGTATAGATCATAGATGAATGATTGGTCTGAGACCAATCATTAATCTATGGTATAGAACATATATTACAATTAACTATACATTAGTTTGGTTGGTTTTTTACCTACGCACATAGCGGGATTTTCACAGAACATCGCCTTCCTAGGGCGCCACTGTCCCCCTGTTGATCTTTAGATTATTTCTTGTACAAATATTTTTAACAACTTGGGTATTATGAAATAATGATTTAGTTTCCTACAAAAAGCAAGTAAATAAGTTTCACTGACGTCCACACAACTGCAACCTTGGACTAGCTAGGTCCAGACAGATCGATCGTTCTTGCTTCTTTTGTTAGTGTATGAAGCAAATTAATATGAATTAATAAAAGAAGTATTTTTTTATGTAATAATGATTACCATTCGTAATATTACTTTACCAAAAACTATTTTTATTTGTTTCAGATAAACGCACGCAACGAACATAATTATAGCACGAAAACGAAACAAAATCGCAAAAGCTCTAGTCAATTTTTATACATTAACGATAATGAAATAATCATACGCGGTTTGATTATAATTTTTTACTAATCAATTAATTTTAAGCTAGTAATATTGTATAGTATTTATTTATTTTTACATTAAGTTACAAAATGCAGATACTTAAGGCACGTTTTGCACTGAGAGCTAGTGCTTCACAGTTCCAGGCATGGAGCACAGCCAAAACAAGAACAGCAGCAACAGTGAGTCTCATTCAGTTTGTTAAAAATAGTCTTTCCATTCATTCATTCAGTAATATACACCGTGAATTTTGAGTTCTCGAGAAACTTAAAAATCGTGTATATAAACATAGTGCGAACAGTTATAAACAGTAAACGTACTACAACGTTTGACGGATGAGTAGACCTTGCGTCTCAGGACTGCCACCTGGTGCCCGTCATTCCAGAAATCTCTCATTAGACTAGATGAAGTATATGAATCACTCTTCTAGTTCATTTAGTTCATCTAGTTTACTTGGCTCAGTACTTCAGTAGTCCATTTGAGTCACCTTGTCATTAAGTTCAATCGCATCATTTCATTAGTTTAGTTCAATCTGTTCTCTAGTTCTAATGATTACGTATGAGTCGTCACGTTAATTTGTCTTTATAACTACATATAAAACCTCCTAACTTAAAGATAAATGTATGATAAATAACATATTGCAGGCGTCACTTAAAATTATTTTTTATACAATAATTGAAATATTTATAATATTTTATAGTTATTTATGGATTTTACATACAAATTTACACGGGATTACTTACTATTAAAAGACCTTATTATTTGTTTATAGAATAACCAATCGATTTTCCTTTATTCTTTGGATTGTCGGGATAAGGATTGTCCACCTAAAGTAATTTTAAGTTAAAGTATACTACAATTTAAATATCAGAAAAATTAACAACAAAATCTCAAAACGTAAACAAATTACGCCTTCAATTGATTTTCAAGAAAAACTAACCCTTGTGTGAGCAGACATAGGACTTAGTTTTTCTTTATTATTTTTTATTTCTTTATTAAAGAAATAATAAAGAAAAAGTCAAGTGCGGGCAGTCTCGGACTTCAGAGCCGTGCAACTGTCTCGCTTCCGCACGCGGTGTTCGTGATCCATCCGTTCCCAGTTTCCTTTACTTTCCTTCAGTAAAGTGTGAACTAGATGAAGTACTGAACTAAATGAATGAACGACAGAATAGGCTAGTTGACCCTTTTTGGAAAAAGGTTTTAAATGGGTAATTAATGTTCTATTAGACCGAAAAAAAATGTATTGTATTTTTTTTAAACCTAGAAAGCTACAAATCTTTAATTTTAAAATAGACTTTTCATGGACATACAAAAACGCTGTCGGCCATTTTAGTCTATAGATTATCTATGCTATGACGTGAACTGTCGTAAACAAAAACTCGTAAACACGCAGAAAATTACTTTTAACTGAGTTTATAATAAACAAAAACATGATTTCTAATAAATACCACGAAAAATAAAGTAATTATCATTACTGTATTGTACGAGAATATAAAAACACATCCTTGAAGACTCCAGGAAAGTTGTCGATTAAAGTGCCGAAAGAAATTAACCTACGCAACTTTATTACACTTATTCATATGTTGTATCAGTTTTATGTTTATTGCTACATTGTAATACTAAATGCACTGTACTTACATAGATGCCTTGTCGTTTCTCTGCTCCGCAGAGCAGAAATCGGGGTTTAGTGCAACAAATTCACCAACCATCAATGCGTCAATTCTTGGCAGATTTGTGCTTTCTGCTTTCACAAAGCCGGCATCCATAATTAGTTTTGTCAAAAAAAAACAATAAACTTAAACTTTTCTAAAGTAAAAAGTGTTTTAAGATAAATTTAGTCAGACGAAAGAATCCACCCACAGTAACACGCGAATGACATTTAGTTGTTTACCAGAAGAGACGTCAAAATCATGGCGGATGTGGCGAACAGCGTTTTTAGTGTTTAAAAAATATAGACTAAAAAATATTTTTTAAAATTAAATTTCTACAGCAATCTTCTGCTTTTATGAAGTGAAATCGATATATTAAGGTTCCTTAGACTAAATACTTTAAGAAATAAACATTTATTTAATACAATTTGACATGAGTAAACTAGCCTATTAGATATTAGGAGTAGACCAAGACCTGAAGGATTCATTCACGAACGACTCAACTCTAGTGACGCAGTTATGAACTGTCACACCAACCATCCTCACTTTGCCGGCCTGCTCAAATGCTTCTTCAAGCTTTTTTTAGAGACCTTTTAGAGGACCTCAGATTGTGGGAAGGAGGGAACACGTGCGCGGGCAAAGAACTCCACTGCACTGTTTAAAGTTGCATAAAAAGTTCTAAATAAGTTCTTAAAAGTCCTTTTGCACTGAAACCGGAGGAGTTTTTAGATTAAAAAGTTATTCCATTATCTAAACGAATCGTCGACTGCGATGACATTATTGTAATTTTTTTACTTTTTAAGTTGATGTTGAATAAGTTCTTCGTTTTTCAATCCTTATATATACATATATACTATATGTATATATAAATTATACTCATTAATAGCTGTTTTTCCAACTGAAATGATAATCTACTCGCAAAATAAACATCAACTTAAATATATATATATATATACACTATACGTATGTATATATATACATATAGTATATATATGTATGTATAGTAATTTTCACGCTTTAATGCATTTTTATAAATTGCTCTGGAAATGTATAGCTAAAAGGCGTACCGTAATTTTGTTTGTTTACTTATATGTATAGAAATATTCCTTATCTTTATTATCAGATGGAACGAAGCCGGCTTTAAGGCGTCCAAGCAAACAAGCAACAAGGGCATTGACACAAATAATAAATAGAAAATAGTAGACTGAGGCCAACTGTTTCAAACTACCAGAATTGCAATTATGATACTTATGCTTTAAGAATTAAAGGACCTATTTACTTGAATTGTACTTACCTACATAGTTTTTCTAATCCAGTTGTCCTTAGATATCTAAGTTTAATTTATTACATCTCTAACTCTGGCTTATTCCAAGTAAGATATTTTGTTTAGTAGGTATAATTCATTACAATTACATTGAGTATTATTTGCACATACTTTTTGACCCCAAAAGGGTTCACTGCTCGTTCCCCGTAGGTGATAGCGTGATAATATGTAGCCTATATATGTTGACCCGACTTCTTAATAATATTCGTGCCAAATTTGAAGTAAATCCATGCAGTACTTTTTGACTTTATCCCGGACATACATAGAGACAAACAGACAAAAATTCTAAAAACTATATTTTTGGCTTCGGTATCGATTGTATATCACACACACCCTAAGTATTCTTTTAAAAAAATATTCAATGTACAGTTTTGACTTTCCTACCATTTTATTATATGTATAAATTGAAATAAGGTACTTCTGACTTTTTTTTTTGTTTACCTAAAAATACTATAGAAAGCAAGTGGGTATTTACAAATGCTGATGAACATCACATGAACTTGAACAGAAGAAATCAATTTGCAGATTTTAAAACCCGTAAAATATCGCTATAAAAGCCTAATAAAATTTTCAACGCTTGAAGTTTTAGTAGATAGCTAACTAGTTAGAAATTAATACAACATAGCTAGCTTACTATTTAGCTGGTCAGACCTAGTAAAGGCGCTCACTGGCTTTTCAATAACCAATGCTATATGTAAAGACTGCCGAGGACAGGAATACGTGGAGAAGCATAGTACATAGGGTGATCAACATTTCAAGTTAGACACGACCTTCAGCAATGAAGATAGCGACTAGGAAGAAGCTAACTAGTTATAATTTAATACTCTTCTTATGTTTATATTCTTTAATTAATAAAGATAATCCCTGATGCGGATACAAAAACAGCAAAGGATATCAAATAATATAATTATTATCCAAAACATACCTTATCTTCTCCATGCTTTGAACTGACATATGAACATTGGAATCAGATAACATTAAAATTGTCTTATCGATTGCACTACACGTATCTTTTTATCTTTTACGAATGTCATAATTATGTCGTGTTTGTTTTGAAACATTGCCAAAACGCATTCAAGGTAAACAAACGCGCAGAAGTCTCGTGAGGCGTCATCGTCAATTACCCATATACATGCATTATTCATTCATGTGCTAAAGGTGAATGAATTTACTCTTTCGATCGCAGCGGTACGAAAATAACTTTTCATTGATGCACCTCGCTCACACGTTAATATGCCTACTGATCGCAATAGCGAAGACATTAGATTAGGCAACACCTATTGTCTAACGCTAATTTATAGTAACTTTTTTTTAAACCATTTGACAATTCGTGTTTTGTAAATATTATTAATCTTCCTAAAATTAATTCTGTAAACATATACCTAAATTTGTAAAAATAATTCCTATGCAGTGAGCCTAAGGCTTTTGACAAGGTCTGGCATGGAGCACTTTTATCGTAGTTATCATCTTACGGGCTACCTTAGGGGCTTTGCAAGTTGACATCAATTTTCTTGGACAGCAGGAGCATTAACTCGTTATCGATGGCTGCTGCTCCGAACCCATGACTATAAACACTGGAGTTCCTCAAGGATCGGTGTTTTCCCCAAAGCAGGTTATCTTGCATATCAATGACATGCTGTTAGGTCCCCGGCATGCATTGCTATGCAGATGACGTAAAGTTGGCACTGTACAAAAAGCAGATAACAAACTTATTATGGCATGTGTTCTTTTCGCAGGACACAAAGACAGTGGAATACAAACCGATCAGGAGCGTGCTGGTAGCGAATCGTGGTGAAATAGCAATCAGAGTGTTCCGAGCATGTTCCGAGTTGGGGATACGCTCAGTCGCTATCTACAGCGAACAAGACAAGCTGCAGATGCACAGGTAATTCAATTCAAAAATCACATGTAAAAGTCGAAAATACGCCATCGTTTCGCAAAATTACGGCGGGATACCTTGTACTTAGAAGAACCGACAAGAAACGCAGCAAGGGCAGCTTTTTTCTCCCTGTTTTATTTCATACAGTATCGTCAAATTAATAGCTGACATCAAACTTGCAAACATGTATTGAGGTCAACTTCCATCATATAGTGCCAACATAATGTCAAATAGGTAACAATAAATAATTAACGAATTTACTAACAATAAGTTTAAATAAAAGTCCCAAAATAGAAAGAAACAATTTTCACAACAAATTGAGCAAGTATATGTGCAAGTTTCTCTTTAAAACTCCCTTTAGGACCCAGTTTTAATATAACTTTTGAAGGTTTTGAAAAATTATCTACAGGTAAAATTACATCCAGGCCATTTTATCATTCAAATATTGTTTTACAGTATAATATCCTTTATTAAGTAAGCAATTCAAAATTCAATATTATTTATTCAGTCTAGGCTGTTACAAGCACTTGTGAATGTCGAAAAGCTACGCCATCGGTTCGCAAATCTACGGCGGGAGACCTTGTACTGAGAAGAACCGGCAAGAAACTCAGCAAGGGCTGTTTTTTTCTCCCTGTATTATATACAGAGTCGTCAATTTGAAAAATGAGTTCAATATGAGATAACCCATGAAGTCACTTTCCATCACAAATGTAAATGATAAAACAATTATGACTATAAAATAAAAAATATAAAAAACAGATTTAAAAATGAAAAAAAGTTTAGGAATGCCGTGTCCCACTGTTTAGGCATAAAAACAAATGTACCATTAAAGTTAAATACAACGATTAATAGTACCCAATGTAGCAAGAGCAGACTCATCTCCGCTGGCAGCACCCGTTCACGAGCATGACGCATGAACCAGCCATCGCTTCGCTCAACCATTTTTTAGGGAACGTAACGACCCGCCTCACACGACACCGCCGAAGAGATTTTTAAGAGAGTATGACTATCCATAACCACATATGGATACTATGTAGCAAAATAGGGGGAAAAAAAATTAAGTACCAGTGTACATTACTTTAAAAAACTATAAACACCTGCAACTGTAGGACACATGCATGTGGTTACCTAAACACTAGTGTCGACTCTGCCACTACCCTCCAAACCCAAAACCAAACCCAACATCAGTGCCCCCCCTTCACTCTGTATAGAGAATGACAAGGATACACCGCTGCAAAACCAAAGTTCAGGTCTAGAGAACCATGCCAGAATCCACACCACCATTAAATCTTTATCTCAGAAATAATAAATGTTCACCTAAATTTTTTGTTTCTGATTGCTGTGCCATACAGTATAAATACAATTACAAATAAAATTTAACTTAAATAATTAATTATAATAATAATAAAGTAGTATAGAGCAGACTCATCTCCGCTGGCAGCACCCGTTCACGAGCATGACGCATGAACCAGCCATCGTTTCGCTCAACCATATTGTAGGGAACGCAACGACCCGCCTCACACGACACCGCCGAAGAGATTTTTAAGAGAGCATGACTACCCATAACCACTCAAACCAAGTAAAATAGTTACTTAGAATTCAGGTAATTTATCTGTACGACACTGCAAACAAATACAAAACAAATTTACAGTTACAGCCATGCAGTTTTGTCATTTAAGTATTCTTTAATAGTATAATAGCCTTTCTTAAGTAAACAATTTTTAATGTGACACTTGAACTCATTTATGGGTAACTCAAGAATGGCATCAGGAATTTTATAATTATATATTTTTTTCAGGAATCTTAATGTGTATTGGCTTTGGAATAGTGTAGACTGCAATTCCAGTATTGGATTGAATGTTTGAGAGTTAAATTTAGAACTGCTTTTTTGGTTACCATTGTCACTACAGTCTTACCAGTTCAAAATTTTTAATTAGACTATCGTGCTATTGTTTGTTAATTTTTTGGTTACCTATTACAGACAAAAAGCCGACGAGTCGTATCTTGTTGGCAAAGGATTGCCGCCGGTTGAAGCTTACTTGAGTATCCCCGAGATCATAAGGGTCGCGAAAGAGAATGACGTCGACGCTGTACATCCTGGCTACGGATTACTTTCTGAGAGGTGAGATTTATTTTAAGAGTTACGCCTTACGATTTAAGTACTTACGTCTTTTCAAACATAAGACGTTCAAACGCTCATGCTGCAATTAGTCGATTGAATCAGTCATGAACGATAAGAAATGGATGAGGATTAAAAAGTCATTAGACGACAGCAAAACCTACTGTAATTTTCCTCGAAACTATTTTTTTATATATTTTGTGTACATTTGAGTGTTGTTGAGGTCTCCTACATAAATACCACAACGATGTCGGTATTGGTTCTTGGACGAACTTCCATACAAATTTGTCCAGTTCCCTTTAAACTCTTAAGGTACCAGTATCTATTGCGCCTATTCAAACCTTATTGCTAGACATCATTTCTCTAATCCGTTTCATTGCCTATAGATCGGTATTATATTAAATGAGACTATCGTTAATATAGACTCTTAAGATGCCTGATAATTTTTCCGCTTTGGTGCTAAGTGGTTAGAACTATTAACGAGTGTCGTCAGTACAACATTAGTAGAAACTGCAACATTGAATACAACAGGTCCTTTTTGTATTTGTTCCGTAGAGCTAACTCAGTAATTAGTTTAAAAGGAGTAAAACTCATTGCGCCATCGAAACAGACCGATTTGTGTAACAAATGACTATCTGTTCGCTTCATAGGGAATTTTTCTTTTCTTTTTCATTACTCAAGCTTACAGGTACTTGAGACTGAGCGCAGGGCCACTCCATAGGGGGCGTCCATAAATGGACGGGAGGGAGGAGGGGGTTGGAGAGAGGGGGGTTCTCGGCAAATATCACGCAATTTTTTTTCACAGTAGTATCTATTAAGTATTCTATTGTTAAATTTTTATTACACTTATAACTCTCAGCAATATTGATTATTAGTCTTAACCAGTCGTAAATAAAAGCACGAAGGATTTTTTTTCTTTTTACAATAACAATCCAACGCGTTTACGAAAGAAACCCACATTTTGAAAAATCTCACGTGAGATTGGGGGATGGGGGAGGGGGTTGAATAAAATCTCACGACATCTCACCAAGGGGGGAGGGAGGGACAGAAAATCCAAAAAAACACCTCACGTAATTTATGGACGCTCCCATAGCCGCTGCAATAGATTTTCAAATCAATAATGTACTATACGCTATTTTCTATACTATAATAATGTAATTACGCGGGTGTACTATATCCATGTCCAAAGGCTTGTATTATAACACAATGACATAATAATTATTAACCTTCCATTCCAAATAAAAAAATCGTTGTGTAGATAAGGAGCTGTTGTACCGAATGCAACATTGCTATGGTGTTCCGATTTGAAAAATTCTTTTTGTATTGGACAGTGCATTTATCGAAGAAGGCTATAAGCTATATATTACCAGGCTACGACCAGTAGCAGCGCAGCATCGGTGAAAAAAAGGTTGCAAAAACGGGTAAAAATATTCCATTTGTGAGATTCCGTTGCGTGCGCTAGGTAAACGGTTAAAGTTACACAAAAATCATGTATGACGGATTTTTTTCTATTTAAAAGTTCTATAAAAAAGTCGACGACAGATTATGTCCATATTTTAAGTTTGACTCACTATAAACCTTTTTCTTCAAATTAACGCGGGTGAAACCGCAGGGAACCTCTAGTTGTGAGATACCTTTATTAGTTAGACATATGGTATCGCGGACTTTTTTGTAGATATTGGTATCCTCTATAAAACTTTAGTACATCACTTTGCTCTATTGTCAAAGACTTCCGCAGCACGCGATATAAGGCTATTTTTTGGTATTTTTTACACACGTTGGGTTACATTATCGGAGTTTTCATACGGAACCATAACTTTTTTGAAAATACGCTATAGCCTATATTGTAATAACGTAGCCTTCAAATGGTGAAAGCATTTTTTAAATCGATCCAGTACTTTTTGAGCCAATTCGTTACAAACATACTTACATACAAATTTTTCCTCTTTATAATATTAGTATAGAAGAAGGCTTTAACTAGTTACGCCGTGTTTTGTTCATGTCTCTCAAATGCCATTTGTCATTCAATGAACAGAGACAAAACATGGACTAACTTATCCAAGCTTATTCTCAGTTTATTAATTACGGGGTTTAATTATATGTTAAGGTTAGCGCACATTATGTTCATACAAAATACAAAATAAATCATTGAGAACAGGTGCAAGGGCGGATCCAGCTTTGGCGCCAGGGGGGGGTCATATAGTCGTGGTCAAGTCACAGTGGGTACAGATTGTGAAGTGGGTTCAGATGGACCCAGCCCAGGGTGGGGGGGGGGGGGGGTCATGACCCCCATGACTGCAATAATGATTGAATACTGCGTCAATCCCAAATAAAATAGAAACGGGCATGGCAACAGGCGAATGATGATCACAGCTCTTACTACCGAGTTGAGTACCAAATCAATCGTGTTATGGAAATAACAAATGTGCGACAGTAAACACAAAATGGTTATCTTACTAGTTCACAGCAGTAACTTTAACTCATTACGTTACCAACATGCTTTAACCACTTAAACCACTTACGGGATAATAATAAATTGTGGTGGTTATTATTAATTACAATAATAATATTGCCGTTTAGATAGTTGAGAAAGTACCTATATTCAAAATAATAATTATGTCTTCTTGTCACATGGAATTGACTAGATTGAACAGTAAGACAGCAGTAATGACCTCATTATTTTACATAAAAACAATCTTTTAGACTCGTGTCGCTCTTCGGTTAATTGATTTACTGATACGAAACACTTGTGTCAGTAAAACAGTTGATATGTGTGTACATTATGAAAATAATTCGGATTAGTTATGACATGACGGTTTATATAATTAATAATTATAAATAATATAGAAATATATATATACATCCAGGACTTAAGTACAAATGCACCGTATAAATATTTTCCCTACCGGGATCCGAATCGGAACGTCTGAGTAGGCGACACTTTGAAATCCGCCGTACGTACCACTCGGCACGGAGGTCGTAAATTATTAGCAATACCTTTGTTACAACTACAGCTTATGCCCCTGTAAGCGGCGCCCATGTAACCCTATAGATGTTTAGGTCAATAGCTATCATTCATGCGTTGTTTGCCCTGACCCCTTTCCCTACCACAGAGTTAAATGCGGTCACACCGGACGAACGAATCTTGGTCCATAATATTGTCATTTTAAGAATTAAACTGCCAGATTTATAAATTTAAAGTAATATTAGAAAAACATCAAATCGGTCCACGTATTCGACGGGATCTCGGCTGAACATTGGTTTGTCAAATGATATCGCTACGCCAGCTTTACGACGATGAACAGTGAGGAAACGAACCTCATTTATTAGCCGATGTCACCCACCTTTTTTTTTAATGTCTGGAAAATGCTTTACGCATTCTCCGCGCACCGGGAGAAGCGTAGTGGAGTTATCCGGGACTCCTCCCCACTCATTTTACCCAGCATGGAGACTCGATGAAATGAGTAGGGTCCTCCTACCTAACGGTAAAAACCAGACAATACTCCTGCACCTGTCCGCTGACACGTATCCCGGGGATCGTGGTCCCTCACATACGTGTCAGTAGGGCGGGCATTGCATGGTACGCCCCAACGGGATTGACCACGCACCCGCCTATGTCACCCACCTGAACCCTTAGCACGAACCAATATCGAATTCTAATAGTTGAATTCGATCTCGATACGCGATCAATTTTGTATGACAGATTTTTAATTCTCGCTACGTCCGTTGAGGCGCTGTTCAAATTTCCATACAAAACTTCTTTACATTTGACGCGTTTCGAGATTGAATTCACCTTTTCGTATTCGATATTGGTTCGTACCAAAGTTACAGGTCATATTGGCTGGGAAACGAACCTCGTTTCCTCGTTGTTTGTCGTTGAAAGTAGCGTTATCATTTCGACAGTGGAGAAGCAAAATTGCTAATACGCCACTTTAGTGCTGCTTAAAAATGAACATTAAATAATAGTGAAATTAAGTAAATTTTTAAGCAGCACCGAAGTGGTGTATAAGCAATTTTGCTTTTCCACTGTTGATTTGACAAACCAAGGTTCAGACAGGATCCTATCGGATACGGATACCTGGACCAAGTTGATGTTTTTCTAGTAAAATCTTGTTTAGATTATATAATATCATAGTTTAATTCTTAAAATAACAATATAATAAACCAAGATTCAGTCGTCAGGTGTGGCCCGAGTTTAACTCTGTGGTAGAAAATCATTGTAGTTGAAAAATATTTAGGTACAAGAAAAAGTGTTATTTTGCTTCCGTTATCTTTCTGTGAGTCGAAGACTTATCAGCATATAGCTAAGCTTACACCACCCCACAGGTTAGACTTCTGTGGTAGAGAATCATTGTAGTAGAAAATTATTTAGGTAGCAGAGAAAGTGTTATTTTGCTTCTGCTATCTTTCTGGGAGTCGAAGAATTATAAGCATTTAGCTAAGCTTACATAACCCCTCAGGTCAGACTTCGCACAAGCCATCATCGACTCCGGGCTACGGTTTATCGGCCCCGCTCCGAGAGTGGTGCAGCAGATGGGAGACAAGGTCGCCGCTAGGAAAGCAGCCATCGAAGCTAGTATGATATTGTACATTGTAGAAACTGAAAACACGTTTGATAAAAATAAAACGAAACTTATGGTCATAATTAGTCTTGTAATGTATATTCCATTTAACAAAATGTTATGGAAGAATAAGGGTTTTAACCTCTCACATATCATTTTGGTAGGTACTAACGACTGAAGATGTAGCCGAACTTATAACGTTTTTCTTCTTAATGGAAATAGTCGAACTATGATAGGAACATTTCTGCAAATGTCATGTTTTAGATTTACTTATAGAAAGAGAAATATCGTGGAATTTAAATATATAGAGGTGCATTAATTAATGACTCAACGTGCCTCCCAAAGCTAGAAGGATCTCGAAATAATATATCTTTGATCACCCATTCGATTAGCGACCATAGCAAAAGTTGATTGACTTATTTAATCGCATATCATTCGTACAAAAACGTTTCAGTGAATCTAAGTAAAGTGACGCTTGCTACTACACTGGCTGTTTTTGCCCACTATATACCTCATGACTTTACATCTTAATTTTTTTAGGTGTCTAAATTACAGTGATATTGAGTTTTATTAAGTTAAAACAAATTGTCCTGTACTGCTATTATCATTAAGACTAATTTTCCTTGCAGATGTCTTTTGCATTATTCGGTGGATACTATAATTATTTTATTTATTTATCATTGTCACAGAGGTACCAATAGTGCCCGGAACAGACGGTCCAATTACGACGAAAGAAGAAGCGCTAGCATTTTGCAAGCAACATGGTCTCCCTGTAATATTTAAGGTAAATACTATTTTTAATTTTATTACAGAACACGATTAATAACTTAACCTATAAACTTATGTTCATATATAGTATTAAGGTAATACGCGATTGATATTTCTTGCAAGCGTCTGTACTGTAGGATTTATGATGGCTGCTTACCAAAAGTTGGTATTTACTTGAGCGTGGCAGAATCATAAATACATAACCACAATCTTGCACCTTATTTATTTATTTTATTTATTTAAAGTTTATTGCCAAACATAAGCAAACGGCGGAATTAATGCCATAGGTATTCTGTACCAGTCAACCAGTTTGATTGTTGGTGACAAATAGTATGGCGATAGGGCAAAGTTGCAAAAATTAAATAAAATGAACATTAACATACTAACAGCAATAAAATAATAATACTTGAATATAAATTGATGCACATATATAAAATACCTTGTGAAGTACTACCACCATACTTGAGCCCTGTATGAAGAATCGAACCGTCCTTCTAGATGTTCGACTGTATATAAAGGGCTCAGGAGTACTTCAGAAGGTGCAAGTTTGTCCCCATTTTGTTATTCTGCATACAATCACCGCTCGGCTCCTTATTAGAAGTTTTAGCGATCAACATCATCCATCAAAATACACCCATAAGACTAATTTTAACTTAGCTAATGTTGTTATAATAAAATACCACATTATAATATTTGAAATTATATCTGGCAAAACAAGTTTCATCTATTCCTTTATTTTCTCTTTATTATTTGTTTTGATAGCCACCACAGTAACATGCATTTTATACTGAAGTGTCTACTTATTTCCGTGCAAGAGATAGAGCCCTATATACACAGAAGACACCATATGCATATAAATGGGTCTCCATTGCCATTCATTCTATACAAAATCCTATAAAGCATCTAGTTTTAAGCTGTGCAGCCGATCTCATAAAATCCCTCTTCATACAGTTATCAAATTGTTTTTATATAATAGCTGTTTTAAAATGAATTTTCTTCCATAGGCGGCGTATGGAGGCGGCGGTCGCGGTATGAGGGTAGTTCGAGAAATGGACGAAGTTTCATCCGCGTTTGAAAGAGCGTCGTCCGAAGCTTTGGGCGCTTTCGGAAACGGATCCATGTTCATAGAGAGGTTCATCGAAAGGCCACGGCATATCGAAGTGCAGTTATTGGGTGAGTTCATGGAAATAGCTTTTATTGAATCGCAATAAAGACGCTTTTATGTTTTGTTACTCATTCGAATTCTAAGTTTTCTGCAGTTAATTTGTTTCTTTTTCGGGTCAGTTTCACGATAAGATTCAATAGAAATGACGTCGCATCATTCATCATCATAGTCAGATTTTCTCTCCCTATAGGCTAGACGTTCTTATTTTTGAAGTGAAAACTTCTTTAGCGGCGTTGTACATTTTTTTTTGTATGGGTAAAAAATGTTAAACTCGCGTCAGGTTAAACACGTGGGCTGATCGCATCATGACACACAATAAAATTGGAAAGGTTGTTGACTTTCAATATATTGGACGAAACGTAGTAATATTTTATTTTACCGTATTATAATAATAAGTCTCTATCTAGGACGTCCACGTCCCTAGCGCAGTCCTCCTGAGGCGCGTCGCCCGGTCCACTCGTTGGGCCGGGCCTGCCCGGGGGCGGGCTCCGAGTTGTGGCGCACGCAGGTGCGTCGGCCCCGAGACGCCCCCACATGGGCGTAGGAGGGTACCGGGGGGTTTTAGTGGAGTAGGATCAGTGTGGCCTTCCGCACTGGTCCTGCTTGAGTAGGGTCGGCACTGTTTCCCGTGTCGGCGAGTCCCACACACGCCGTGCGCCTAGGCAGCGGCACGGTATGGTGCGTAAATGCATTTCCCCTCGTCACAAAAAAAAAGGACGTCCACGTGGCAGCTTTATTGCAAAGAAAATGCATTTTTTTTACAAAAGATGTCGCTAGGGACGCTTAAATGTGATTCATGTTAGTTGATTTCTTTACGATAGATGGCGCTAAGTGCGCTTAAACGTGATTCATTTAAGTTGATTTTTCTGAGAGATAAACTTTTTTAATGTAATATAAAATGTCATGTTTGTGTACGATAGCACAATAAACCACATACATGATAGTAATTTTATACTGATAATTAAAGCAGTTCGTGCAAAATTATTCTCTAACCATTCCAAAATATGAAAAATGCACAACGTTAATATTCAAGTTTTCACTTCTGCCGGCACTCCCGGAGTGCAACCCGTCTTTTTTTACTATACTCTTTGCCACTTGTCTCTTATCTCTTCTCATTACCAACCCATCCATAAATATCACACAACCTCCAAATTGCATCCAACTTAACAGATTTGAACTAAACAGTCATCAAATTCCGGCCACTGAACATATATTGATGAGTTTTAATGTAAAGATGTAGGTGTGAAGACAGTTGACACAGCCATTTTAGCAAGTTTCATAGTGAATTTCCTATTCACGTATTTATTAAGTTTATTTTTCTTGACATTATTTAGGTGACAAAGCCGGTAACGTGGTACATTTGTACGAACGCGACTGTTCAGTACAGAGGCGACACCAGAAAGTAGTTGAGATTGCGCCCGCGCCTCATTTAGACCCTGAAGTAAGTTCTATAGTGCGATTAATAACTTTATAACGGCCGTGAAGTTTGCAGCGAGTGTAAATATGGCAGGTTTCAGTTCAATAACATATATATTCCGTTTACTGCATCGCGACTTGCGGTAATTTCACAGCCGCTTTTAAGTTTGTATTGCACGATGTCATTGGTAATATGCGACTAGAAGATTGCTACTGAGACTAAACCTGGACCTGTCGAATTTATTTTTGTATTATCTATTGGCTGCAAGACAACGCCACTTCACCTTGTAGACAACTACAATGTCAAATTAGATACTTCTAAAAGTATCGCACTACATACATTAGACGGTTGATTGCGGAATCGGCAGATTCTATTCCTTTATTTACCAGAAAACGTTACTTGTCATCTCATTAGATAAAGTCTAGCCCTTAAATGCTATAATAATAACTATAAAAAAGGTGTTTTTATATACCTATGTTTGAGAAGCTCGATGGCGCAGGTGGTAAGCGCGTAGCGGTGGCTGCGATCGTTGAAGTTAACAACTTTCGCAGTGGTCGGTAATTGGATGGGTGACCAAAAATCTTTTAGCACGAGTTCCTTCGGGCTTCGAAAGGCACGGTTAGCCGTTGGTCCCGGCCGCATCTGCACTCGTTAGCACCCACCAATCCGTACTGGGAAAGTGTAGTGGTGTCATGGCCCAATCCCCCTATTCCATCCATAGGGACGGCCTGTGCCCCAGCAGTGGGGGCATTAATAGGCTGATGATGATATACCTATGTTTTATTTATTGGCTTAGATTCGACAGAAGATGACTGACTGCGCGGTTCACTTAGCAAGGCATGTGGGTTACGAGAACGCTGGCACTGTAGAGTTTCTCTTAGACGACAAAGGCAACTTCTATTTCATCGAAGTCAACGCTAGGTAAGTTGAAAATCAATCAAATATTTCTATTTCTGTTTAACGATAACAAATTATTATTTTGTAATCTAACATAATTAGAAATCAAAGACAAACCTGGTGTGTTTATATGTTTTTGTTTCAAACTAGCGGTTGCCGACGACTTCGTCTGCGTTAAAAAGTATCCTATGTCTCAATACATGTCATAAACTATATGCGTACCTACCAAATTATAATATTATTATAATTAACATCCATTCAGTAATAAAATAAATTCATCATTCTTAGAAGTTTAGGATTAATCTTGTTAATTTCGATATACATAAATAATTTTTGTGTAGATTTCTTGTTCATTTATTTTTGTGAAACGGAACAATTTTCTTTTAGGAACAGACATGAAGTCAATTTTTATACTTTTAAATATTTGATTATTTCACGAAAGTTTGATGAGAATAATAAACAGTAATAATTAATAAACAAATATTTTAATAGTGCGGGCTAGTGCGAAATAATTATACATGTTAAGGGCAGTTTCTTAGCCATGTCTTTTATATTCATTTGTGTTTTCCTATTAACCACACCGCCATTTCTCTTACACCTTACATACACACATACTCGTAAGGGAAATAAAAATTTTATTTTAAGTAAATAAACATCCGATTATAACTAATCGAGTGGATGGAGTCATATAACTATGACCATGGAGTTCCGGGATTTGATAAAAACAGTCTGATAAACTTCTGCCATTATTTTTAGCCAAAAATAAGTTTAGGTAAATATGAATCCAATTATCTGATCTCTCATTATTACTTATCAATATGAATTTCGTTATGAATTAGCACCCGCCAATCTCTCTATACCGTCTGTAGGGAAGGCCTGTGCCCCAGCAGTGGGGAGATTAATAGGTTGATTATAATGATGATGAATTTCGTTAAACATCCAACCTAATTACCACCAGGTTACAAGTGGAGCACACAATCACAGAAGAAGTGACCGGTATAGATCTTGTGCAGTCTCAAATTCGAGTAGCTGAAGGAATGACTTTACCGGAAATGGGACTCACACAGGATAAGATCAAAGCCCAAGGATTCGCCATACAATGTCGAGTTACTACCGAGGATCCGGCAAATAACTTCCAACCTAGCACTGGAAGGATTGAAGTGTTCAGGTAGGTGTTTATTGCTTAACTAATTTTTAGTTTTGTCTTGCTTGACTTAAGACTCACAATTGATTGCAAAAAATGCACTAACAGACACTTTCTCTTTGCACAGTTGCCTATTATATAAGGTATAGTGTACGACACACTTGGTTTCTTTAAAGCAGCTGATCTTGATGTTATTGCGCATGTCGGGTATTTTACAAGTTTTAGAAAACGATCTCACATTATTTACTAATGTTTATGGAGTCCACAAAGTGTATATTCGTCATTCAGTTGCGATTTCAGAAAAAAAAATATATTAAATATAGTGTATATTTTTATTAATAGTCTAAGATCCGAACCTACATCGACCTTCACCGAGCTGATAATGGAATGAAACATATTTTGTAATGAATTTAGTATATTAGACAATATATTAAAAATGGGTTGCTTGAAAAAGTTTAGAAAGTTAATCATATTTTTTTCTGTCACAAAAGTAAAATCGCTGCTAATATTAATATTAAATACAGATGCCACCAATTGATACTTTATTTTTCATACTGTCAAATACTCTATTGTGAGTCACGAAAATAATATAATTAATGTAAAAAGTACGAAGAAAATAATATCACAATGACTAAAGGTAAATTTATATTGACTTGTACAGATCTGGGGAAGGTATGGGCATACGTCTAGATTCCGCGTCCACATACGCCGGCGCCGTCATATCTCCGTACTACGACTCGCTATTGGTTAAAGTAAGTTTGACAAATAATGTTTCATGTTCTCACTCTTTCAATATTAGCGGGATTCCAATCTTAATAAATTAACCGAAATGAGAAATAATACTGGTAAGCAACGGTAGAATACATAATATTTTGAAAGTTTAAGTATAAATAACCCGAAATACTTTGTAGTAGTTACATTTATTAACTCAAGTTCTTTTGACGACCTCCGTGGCCGAGTGGTTTGTACGCCGGGTTTCATGGTGTCCCGAGAGGTCCCGGGTTCGAATCCCGGTGGGGGCAGATGTTTGTGTGATGAATTCGTGCATTTGTACTCCAGTCATGTCTAATATGTATTTCTATATAAATATACTAATGTAAGTACAGTATATGTATTCTATCCGTTACCCTAGTATCCCATAACACAAGCCAACAGTGCTTACTTTGGGGCTAGGCTAATTGGTGTGAGTGTTGGAAATATTTATTTATTTATATAAATTACCGATCTGAATTTATTGTTTCATTATAGTTCTATTTTATTTACAGTAAACTTTACTGTGCTATCGTCACATAAATTTTGTATCAACACAGTAGATTTGATTGAGAAAAATTGTAACTTTAATACCTGTTAACGTTGTTATAGGTAATCTCTCATGCGCAAGATTTGTCCGCGTCCGCTGCCAAAATGAACAGAGCGCTGCGCGAGTTCCGTATCCGCGGCGTCAAAACAAACATTCCATTTTTGCTCAACGTATTAGAAAACCAGAAGTTCCTTAATGGTAAGTTATTGCAGTAAATTACATGTAGCTGTTACTATTGTAATATGTAATATGAATTTTGTGGAAACACGCGAATTAAAGATGAAGGTTTTTTACAAAGAGATTTTCATGAATGTCGTTACAAAAGTACTGAACAGTGACTTTCCTTTTTAGAGTTGATATGTCTGCTACAATCTGAAATTGTATACGGATTATATAAGGACATATCATGTATTTAATTATGGTATAAAAATGTATACGAATTAATATGACATACGGTGTCATACATGAAACTGTCCGTAGTCATTGGTCGCTGGTTCATATCCGGCTCGAAGGACCAATGTGCGAGTTAGGGTTATTTGTATCTCCTTATAGCTCGATAGGGCTGACTTTGCGTGTGGAATAAATAGAAAATGTAGACTCACGGAATGATTACGTAGTCTTAATAGGAAAGGATAATGGCGAAATATTTGTTGAAGTAAATCTATAGCGTCTATAGATGTCATTATATCAGAATTGTTAAAAAAATAATCTCAAAAGATTTATTAAACAATTGAGGAGGGTTGTCTAATGTCTAAGTCTGGAATTAAAAACTTAAAAAAAGGGAAACACAATTGACTATTTATTTTTTATTTTTATTGTGGCTTGGCCATGATGGCTTTTGAGCCATTCATTTTAATTGATTTTAGTGATGAAATCAACTTTAAATATGTTGTTCGTATGTTTTGCATCGCTTTACGCTTGAACTGTATTATTTATGAAACATTATTTTTCAATATTTAGTCCAGTCGGAATAAACATGAGACCTATTCTAAGACACCAGCGCTTAGCCAATTTTTTCCTAGATAGTATAGACCCCCACGAATATGCCCTCCATTTGTCCCCGCTAGAACCCGTGTTTTGTAGCCAGGAAAATTGTTTAAACAAAGAAAAACCGGTTTTTTTGAGTTTTTTTGCTTAAAACGGGGATTTTGAAAATTTTTTTGAATCAAAGTTGTTCATTAGCTTGCCCTCTACAAAATCAGTTCTATGAAAAAATAACGTGAGATTGTTAGTTTAGCAGTAAATTGCAATTATGTCGGTTTTACGTTTGCAACAATTCAACATGTTATAATAAACATTTTGATTTCTAAAGTAGTTTATCATGTGGGTAACGCCACTCCCAAGAGAGTCATGTAAAATTTATCGACCTGTGTCGCAAACTTTAGCAACAATTCTCAATCTCCGAAAAAAAAGTACTTGCCTGTCCCGTCTTTCCCAGAAGGCGCACAGCGGGGAAAAAAATTCAGGTGATTCGATTCACCAAGAATTTTGAGGAATCGATCGAGTAGAAAAAAATCGTTAGTAAAAATGTTCGTTTTTGGACGATTTAATTTTTTTAAAAAATTGGCGTAGAATAATTTTTTTTTTAAACTAATGTATTTTTCTCTCCTCAACTCGAATATACGATTGAAAATTTAAAAAATTCAGTTTATTTATGTACAGAAATTATTTACAAAACTATTAACTAAAATTCGATTACAAGACTGTGTTGTATTCTATATTTCTAATTAAATTAATTTCGTCCTTTTTTCTTCCGGTTCATAATCGGAATTCTCAGGGTATATTAGTATTATATACATCATCATCATCATCAGCCTATTAATGTCCCCACTGCTGGGGCACAGACCTTCCCTATGGATGGAATAGGGAGAATGGGCCATGACCCACCACGCGGGCCCAGTGCGGATTGGCGGGTGCTAACGACTGCAGATGCAGCCGGGACCAACGGCTTAACGTGCCTTCCGAAGCACGGAGGAACTCGGGATAGAAGATTTTTGGTCACCCATCCAATGACCGACCACTGCGAAAGTTGCTTAAATTCAACGATCGCAACCTAACGCGCTAACCACTTGCGCCATCGATTATTATATATATATATATTCAGAATAGTATATTCGAGTTGAGGAGAGAAAAATACATTAGTTTAAAAAAAAAAATATTCTACGTCAATTTTTAAAAAAATTTAAATCGTCCAAAAACGAACATTTTTATGAACGATTTTTTTCTACTCGATCGATTCCTCAAAATTCTTGGTGAATCGAATCACCTGAATTTTTTTCCCGCTGTGCGCCTTCTGGGAAAGACGGGACAGGCAAGTACTTTTTTTTCGGAGATTGAGAATTGTTGCTAAAGTTTGCGACACAGGTCGATAAATTTTACATGACTCTCTTGGGAGTGGCGTTACCCACATGATAAACTACTTTAGAAATCAAAATGTTTATTATAACATGTTGAATTGTTGCAAACGTAAAACCGACATAATTGCAATTTACTGCTAAACTAACAATCTCACGTTATTTTTTCATAGAACTGATTTTGTAGAGGGCAAGCTAATGAACAACTTTGATTCAAAAAAATTTTCAAAATCCCCGTTTACAAGCAAAAAAACTCAAAAAAACCGGTTTTTCTTTGTTTAAACAATTTTCCTGGCTACAAAACACGGGTTCTAGCGGGGACAAATGGAGGGCTTATTCGTGGGGGTCTATACTACCTAGGAAAAAATTGGCTAAGCGCTGGTGTCTTAGAATAGAAGTCGGTCCAAATTATGGCTATTCCGACTGGACTAATTATACTGAAACCATATCAAATAATCTCCACAATACAAAAAGAGTATGGCGACAATTCTAACGAAAAAAAACTATAACTGTCACTGTCATGCTTGTCATCGAATTGTTGTTGTTATTGTTATCATTATATAACATTGTTTGTGCTTAGGTGCATGCATATTGCAAAGATTTCAATCGGCGTATTGTGTTTTTCTGAAATTTGTTTTTTTATGTGACTCGGACTGTATTTGGACTTTCGAAATCTTTCCCTGCGACTGTTGAGTAGTGCTTGCCTAAGACGATTCTGTCCCATACTGTGAATTTTATTTCATTGTATCTACTATCTACGATATTGTGATCAACGATGTGGAATAAAAAATATATAAAAAGTGTAGCATATTTAATTAATATCCCATCAGTACATTATTAGAAATCCTTTTTCATACTTTATTATTGCAGTGGGCATTTTCAAATTCTTAAGTACTTCTTACAGCACAGACATTGTATTTGAACTCAATAACTCTTGTCTGATAATAAGTATTTTGACGCGGTTGGTCAGAACCTACGCCAAAGAAAGAAAAAAAGAAAGAAAGCCAACTGATCATACATTGTAAAAAACATTTTTTTTTCGTCACTAATCTTCAGAACCGGTATACTTCTATAGATCCGTTCCACGTATTTTTTATTTTGATATAAAAATACTCTTGAAAATACTTTTATAATTCGTTTTTGCATTACTTGGTAGGACATTACCTCCAAAACTTCAAAGTAGAATATCTATAAATCCAGACTTCCTATAATATAAAAAATAAGATGAATCAAATCAAGAAAGTAAACTCTATAATTTAACATGCAATTCATTTATAGACACAAGAAAAAATTTCAACAAAAAAATGTATGGGAGTTCGCCATTGTCCTTTTCCTTATGTAAACTAAAATTATCTTACTTATAAATGTTGCTATTTATATCATAACAATATTCGCAATACCAACTCATATACAGACCTAGATTTCAGTACGCATGTGTTTCAATTTGTATGAGAATCTAGCGTGTCATATTTTGAAAACACTAGGTTGCGGATAAACATAATGGACCTCGGTCACGCGTTTTAATTATATCGTTTATAAAGCTCAATTTTGCACAATTAGATCTTTTTTTATAAATTGCTAATGCTGTCAATTGCCGAAAACGGTGACATGAAGAAATAAAATAGTGTTAAAGGTGGACCTATGGTCACGCTTTTGACATATTTTTTCGCGAAGTTGGCACACGCGGTATACAGATCGAAATATCTGTCTTGTGAACTCATGAATGAATGTATCCTATATTTGACACTATTTTAAATAAATGTAAAATCTGCAGTCCTCTGTAGTCCCTTACTTCATAGACCAGCACCCGTTAATGTTTGTGTGTATGTGTATGTCAACCGTCTCAGAATAGCGCTTAGAAGTTTATCAACTACCTCGGCCAATCTTAGTTATTTATTACAAAGTTCCCAAAACTTACTCATAGGGTACTTTTGACCTTAGAAATATTTATTCTGACCTGAGAAATATTGTTTATGTTCAAATCGTCTCAGAACAGAGCTCAGAAGATCCTGAACTACCTTGGCCAATAAAATTATAGTTATCACAATAATCACAACACTAATTCATAGGATACTTTAGACCTTAGAAATATTCTGAATACATATAAAATCTACAGGTGAGGTAGACACTTACTTCATAGACTAGCACCCGCAGCTGTTTATATTCAAACCGTCTCAGAACAGAGCTAATTCATAGAATATTTTAGACCTTAGAAATATTCTGAATACATATAATTTCTACAGGTGCGGTAGACACTTACTTCATAGATGAGCACCCGCAGCTGTTTATGTTCAAACCGTCTCAGAACAGAGCTCAGAAGATCCTCAACTATCTCGGCCAAGTGTTGGTGAATGGACCGGCGACGCCTCTGGCTACAAATATACCGCCTTCGGACGTGAAGCCTTATGTACCCCCTGTGCCGTTGGGTAAGTGTCTACAATACAATTAATAGTTATCTGAAGGCTGGATTTGCATTTTGGTGACAATTCTAAATTAAGATGATCCTTTCATATTTTTTATGGCGAGACGTATCTAACTTATCTGTAAGGTGATTGACAAGACATAAAGGGTAAGGGTCAAAACACCCTAATCATTAGTATATCGTGTCCTGGAATATTGCCTATTAAAATTAAATAATTCCGGCACACTTGGCTATTCGTATTAGCTATTTGTTAACTTTACATTAGTCTGCCCTTATCATTCTTTATAAATCATGAGAAGAATATACTGTTGTCAAGTTTACAAACAGCAAATACGAATAGCCAAGAGAAGTGCCGGCATAAAGGTAGCACTTTAGTAGCGAGTTGTATTAACTTAATAATTTGCAACGAAACAATTGATTTGATTTAGCTCGAATTAGGCCGATAGTCCGCTTGTGGTTAGGGCTTGCAATCGAATATTCGGAGAATTCGAATAATAAATTGGGATCGAATATTCGAAAATGAAACCCCAATATTCGAAATAAAAAAAAAATAACATAGAGAACACGGTGTCAAAAATTTCTGTTTTTGACGGTCTTTCATTTAGCATTTTTTGTACCTCTGAATTATTCAAAATCACTTTAAAAAAAAATCTCTGCTACGATTATTTACCAGAGTCCACGAACTTAATTAAGAATATCGTAATAAAAATCAGTGCGTTTAATGGGTAATTTGAAGATAGTTTTTATTGTTAAATTTTGATACTATTTTTTTTTGTTTTGTTTTGATACCTCGCTATTGTATTGGGATTACTCCTCTATATATAAATAAATTCATATCAAGGGACGTCCAGTTTTGGGATCATTTAGAGGGCAAGGCCAAATTGGCCTCGAAGAAGCTTGTTGTGCTCAATAGATTGAGAAGGTACTTCACACCGGCACGACTGCAACTTTACAAGGCACAGGTTTGGTCTCTCGTGGAGTACTGTTTTCATCTTTGGAAAGGACAGGGTCACCCCAGTGCCAGCTTCTCCCCTTTGATCCCCTTGGTCCTTTGGCTTTGCATTGGGATGTAGCTTCGCTTTGGATCCTCGTCCGCATTTATCACGGGAAGTGTTATGAGGAATTGTTCCGATTAATATCAGCTGCTGCTTTTTGCCATCATATATAGCGACAAAAAATTCAACCCCATCCTTTGATCCGTAGTTACACAATTGTCGAATTTTTTTGCCACATACGACAAAACTGTGGAATATTCTGTCGCCACCAGTGTTTTGTGAATCGATTCCATCCGAAAACGTTAAAAAAAGAGCATACTCCTTCCTTTAAGACCGGTATCGCATTTGTGATACGACTGGTGTTACAGATGTCTATGGGCGGCAGTGATCGTTTACCATGAGGAGACCCGTTTGCTATTAAGCCCTCTATAATATATAAAAAATAACATCCTAAAAATTGATGGCCCTAGAACGTTAATTCTTTATCTCTAGATGAATGGACGTCGAATATAAATATTTAGCTAATATAAACCACACGATGATTGAAATATAATACAACAAATGGCGCTAATTGACTGGGGCTGTCATAGACAAGTGTATACCACTTACGATTGAAGTATCTTTACATCCTTAAATATATTTGCGATCATTTTAAGATGTTCCCTTAATAAGCGATTCCATAGACGAACTAAGTTTCTTAAGGCCCACGTCCAAGTAAAACATCGAAGAATAATCCAAAAGATATTTTTTAGCAGTGTTTCGTTTATCATTGATTGATAATTTAGTTAATGATTCTATTAGAAATCTACAGTTTAGTTATTTACTTATATCACAGCCAGTTATTTATATTTTTTATTTGTTCTGAGGAGCTATTCTCCCATATCCCACCTTATCCTGTCCTTCAGAGGATCACGCGCGCTACTTACAGTTACGTTGCCACTCACTATGATATGAGATTTGATGACTTATTTTTTTCGTACTATTCGCAAGTAGAATTCTTTGCCCGCGCCCGTCTTCCCTCTTTTTGCAATCTTCTTCTTCATTCGTGCAGGCCGGCAAGGTGAGGATTGTTGGCGTGGTAGTTCATAACTGCTGCCTCTACATCTTCTCGTCTAGACTTTACCATCACCTAACATCATCGGGTGGGGTAGAGTCATTTGCTTACCTAACTATAAAAATAAAATAAATTGAATTGTGTCATGTGAGTGCAACTTCGACATTACAAAGAACAAATATAATTTAATAGCTACTTTTTTCTAGTTACATGAAACTATTACGCGTTTGACTTGATATTTTTCGTATGATTTATTTGGTATTATTATTACATTATATACTTAACGGTAACTATAGCATGTGATGTTAAAGGTACACCCTTTAAAAACACGATTAATAAAAGTTTTGGTTTTTAAAATTATTCGAATAATATTCTAATGGTACCCGAAAAATATTAGAAAACGAAAACTTTTCGAATATTAATTTCGAATATAAGCAAGCCCTACTTCTGTTGAATTACGGCCGTGTCTTTTGGAGCTGTTTGTATGAACAAACCGCCTATCAATGTGTCTTGGCCCTTACTAAAATAAGCAACAGAAAAGACGTCAGTTGAATATTATGTTTGTTTAAGTCACGTGCTGTTTTTAATCTAATCTTAAGCCAGAGACATATTTACGTATCGTGTCGTGTCGACGCTTTAACCTCTCTATCTCTCTCTAACCCATAATAAATGTATGAAACCGATGCGCCACGTCACGCCACGACACCTTAATATGTTTTTGGCTTTAGTCCTTTAATTTCAACATCTTGTTGCTATTCCAAATTATGTTACAGCATCAACTTTAATGAAACTTAAATAAATTAATATCTTTTGAGTGTGGCCGTTAAACATTTTTAAAGGCAGAAAGACACATTTTATTATTTTAAGAATAAATTGTTATTAGCAAGTGTTTTTTTTAAATTATAACACATCTATCATGAAAATATAACTAGAAAAAATTCTACGCGGACCAGGCAGCAGACGGGACTCGAACCCGCACCCTTCGCAATCCGGGCGAATGCACTGACCAATTATGCTACCGCGGCCCTCACGGACCGCGTCGAAATTCTTTCTAGCTATTCTTAAGCTGCAAGGCAGCGCCATCTCTTCGCATTATAGGTAAACCCACAATGTCAAATGAATACTTTTACAAGTATTAAACATTTGAAAGAAGAAATAGCAATTATAGTTATAATTTTTATTATTTTTAAAGCATGTAACTGCTTGATGTTTAAATCTAAAGAAAATATATATTTTCTGTCTGGTCATTATGTGACCTATAATGCGAAGAGATGGCGCTGCCTTGCAGCTTAAGAATAGCTAGAAAGAATTTCGACGCGGTCCGTGAGGGCCGCGGTAGCATAATTGGTCAGTGCATTCGCCCGGATTGCGAAGGGTGCGGGTTCGAGTCCCGTCTGCTGCCTGGTCCGCGTGGATTTTTTTCTAGTTATATTTTCTTTAGATTTAAACATCAAGCAGTTACATGCTTTAAAAATAATAAAAATTACATCTATCATGAATTAACGTTCGATTTGGATATTTAAACCCGCCCACCCCACCCCGTATAATTATAAACTTGCACAATTAATTATAAATCTATCGCGTATGAATCCGCCGCTAGAGGCGCTAGTGTAGCGTGAGGTCTCCGAAATGTCAAATGTTATTGCTTGTTGGTTGACTACGCGGGTTTATTTCTTATTAAAATAATGTTGTGAATAATTAGTAACAATTCGGCTTAATTATGGCAAATATGAGTTATGTGGCAATGAATGTCAGTTATTAAAAATTTGAGCTTAGAAAAATGATTATGTTCCCATTTTTTCCCAATAAAACGGAACTGGGCGTCACTGTGGCATGGCCTATTATGTTTAGGATATGGTTCTATTGTGTTAAAATACGATCTAAATGTAACCTTTGATTTCATGTGCGTATTAATAAACTTTAAAAGTTACAATTTAGGACCTCACTCAACAGTGGCGCCATCTGGTGAGACAGAAAACGGTAGCCCTCATTGTACAATTTTAATTATTGAGGTTTTTGTTAAACACTGTAAATAGTACTTCTATCAAAGGTGATGATAGAGATTATCTTCTGTAATATTTGTTCCCATGCAATGGTTAAACCACTCATTCATTAGAACACTCTAATTTTAAATTGATTGTGAAACATTTTTTCATTTTATTGTTTTCTTAATTGTGTAAATACGCACTAAAATGGCAGTGTCTTTTCATTATACTTAAATATTAAGTACATTTACTTTTTCTTATTGTCTTTGACATTCATTCATTACAATTTGATTTGAGAAAATTATGTTAATACCTGTTTGTTTGTAAAATGAAAGATGAAATTACAGTTTGCACACAAATTTACAATTTGCTATTTTTTTTTTACAGTCCAACCTGGACGTGGTAGGTTAAAATCAAATAAAATTTTGTATAAGTGTGCGATATAAGCGTATAATTAATATATTTATATATTATATGCTTTGTCCATGGATTGCAGTATAGTCGTTTAATTTTATATTGAAATTATGTTTCTGTTGCATATACTAAAAATTTCATACTTTACACTAAGGTGAAAAAGGGTTGTAGTATTAGTTTTGTGTTAAACCTACATCTCACAATTCACCCATAAATTAATATTGGCAATATATACTGGTGAACAAAATTGGGAATTAATTTTATTTTAGTAGTTGTTGACATACATGAGATATTATTGAATCAATACTGTAAATGGACAATTAAAGTATGGTTTTATTTCAATTTTCAAAATTATATTTCATATATTTGTTTATAATCGTCAAAAATCACAGTTATTTCATCAAGGACACTTGTCACGTACGTACATTGTGTTGTGAGATATGGTCAAGACAAAATGACAACAGACAAATGTTTCACGTGATAGCTTTTTTATTTAGTTTTTTTATTGCACCTTTGATTTATGTAATATCTATGTAGCGCACTGTACCGGGAACCTCATTTGTCATTCTCCATTAGAACAGTAGTCCGTGCACATCATTTGACATTGTTGCACCGAACCATTATTATTTTTAGTAACATATTTTGCAGACCTATCCCCCGAGGCCATTAAAAGGCAGGAATTAACAGGAGAAAACACAGGTAATGCTAATTTGTTTAATCTTTGCATTTATATTCATTGTTTGAATTGACATTACATCCAAATGTAAAAAATACCATGCCTGCATGTTAATTGGGCCCATCATAGCAGATTCTATATTAGCACAATGCGGCGAGTATGCCAGGCGAAGAACCATTGCCTAGCATATTTACCAACCTAGGCCTATAGTTTTTGAAGTTTAGAAGCACCACTTATTTCCTTGGCCACTATTTCTTACTCATCATCATCAGCCTATTAATGTCCCCACTGCTGGGGCACAGGCCTTCCCTATGGATAGAATAGGGAGATTGGGCCATGACCAGCCCCGCGGGCCCAGAAGCCGGGACCAACGGCTTTACGTGCTTTCCGAAGCACGGAGAAACTCGAGATAGAAAATTTTTGGTCACCCATCCAATGACCGACCATTGCGAAAGTTGCTTAACTTCAACGATCGCAGCAGAACGCGCTAGCTACCTGTGCCATCGAGCTTTTCGTATTTCTTACTACTTGAGATAAATTTTTGGGCATTCTTACCAGAATTCCATGGCGAGTATACTAGGCGTAGTGACACGCTCCAGAGATCGAGATACTTTATTGCTAGACGGTCGTCAGCGGTCGACAATCGGATCTTTCGTATTTCAAAAAGCACTCATAATATAAATCGTTGGTCTCGGCAGCATCCACACTTAACATTTACTAATTTACATTAATGAAGCCTAGTTTTAAACTAATTTCGACCTTATTACTCTTGGATAAGATTCAACCAAATTTGAAATGAAGCAAAAAATTTCAACGCAAAACTTTTCCATGGTACCGGTTCAACCTCCGCGCGGATTCAAGCAGATTTTCCAAGAGGTCAGAAATAACAAGGTTCTCCTACTAATGGACACTACGTACAGGGTCGCGCACCAGTCGTTGCGTCGTGCACAACTTTTATTCTTTGACTACCGGGAATGCTAATATGATCCTAGTGTTTTGCGTTTATAATTTACTACAATATTTGTGACCACGAAAGTTTTAAAAAATATACCTAAATCCAATTCTCTTGACAATATTAAAACCAAACCTATTTCCTATAAAACTGAAGCAAAAAGTTTCAACGTATAAATTTTCCATGGTAGCGGTTCAACCTCCGCGCGGATTCAAGCAGATTCTACAAGAGGGTGGTCCTGAGGCATTCGCCAAAGCTGTCAGAAAGAACAAGGGTCTTCTACTAATGGACACAACATACAGAGACGCACATCAGTCGTTGCTCGCGACGCGTGTGAGGACGCACGATCTTCTCGCCGTGTCGCCTTATGTTGCTCACAACTTTAGCAACTTATACTCGTTGGAGAATTGGGGAGGAGCTACTTTTGATGTTGCTTTGAGGTGAGATGATGATGCTATTTTTTGCCCAGTCGGCGGACTACTTGGCAATCCTTTATGATCACAACAATTAAAAATAATACCAGTTATGTTTTACATGAATTCAACCAATCACGCATAAACAAATTGAAATTACTTACAATTATTACTAGATAAGATTAAGAAAATGAACATATTTTCTTCTTAACAATTCAGTATGAATTAAAATACGGTGGGGTAGATGCTTCCTTCACCTGACTAACTTTTTAATATTCTTTCCTACTGCAGTCCTGCTTGTTGAGATTTCAGATTGAAACAAGCTGTGGTCTTGTATATTAATTACCCCTTTTCCCGGAAACGGAGCTGCACTGACTACTGTCATTAACCGAAGGAACAACATTGGGGATGTTTTATCGTCAGTCCTGCCAAGCCCACTTTCTTATGTGACAGTTTTTAATCTTCGTTTTCGTATTGTGTGATAAGGAAAGCGCTCCGCTAACTTGTTTCCGTGATTGTGTAGCGCAATCCAAACTTAATGACCGCTTTAAAGTTAGCGTAAATCGCGTGCGTAGTAAGCAAGAAGTTTAGACGTCATAAAATTTGAATTACTCTACAATATTTGTGTCTAAGTAAACTACTTATTAAGATGAATATTATTTACTCTATTAAAACTTTATACACATTTGATATTATTTTAAAGGTTCCTCCACGAATGTCCTTGGGAGCGTCTTCGCGACATGCGCGCTTTGATCCCGAATATTCCCTTCCAAATGTTATTGCGAGGCGCCAACGCTGTCGGATACACGAACTACCCAGACAACGTCGTCTTTAAATTCTGTGATATGGCGGTGAGTATATATTTATAGCCCAATTTTCATTTTATCAAAGCTCTTAAGCTTCGCCCGGATAAGTCCTAGTTTGAAGCGCTTCCTGGGGTGGTCCGGGAAGGGTCTGAATAAAACCCCGATAATTTTTGTGTCTAGGAAAAAAAAAGGAATCATATTTTTTTAACTCCTTCTACTAAATATCACAAATGAATAAGAAAATTTCAATGTAAATGGCGTTGGACAAAGTCGAATCTATCTATATACCAAATGTACAATACAAAAGCTAATGAACCAACATAATTCCTTTGGCATTTATAATATAAGTGTGGAATCAGAAATACAAAAGTGTTCCCCTACTTTTATTCATAAAAAAGTCCTGTTGCAAATACTTAAAAGATTTAAGCAAGTCTGTAAGCTTGCTTCACTTTATCCAAAGTTCCTTTCCGCAGGTACAAGCCGGTATGGACATCTTCCGAGTGTTCGATTCTCTGAACTACCTTCCGAACTTGATCCTCGGCATGGAAGCGGCGGGTAAAGCCGGTGGTGTAGTAGAAGCTGCCATCTCTTACACCGGCGATGTTTCCGACCCTACAAAGACGAAATACGACCTCAAATACTATGTTAACTTGGCCGATGAACTGGTCAAAGCTGGCACTCACGTGTTGTGCATTAAAGATATGGCTGGCCTGTTGAAACCTCAGGCTGCTGAGTAAGTTTCTTTAATTTTTTACTTACAATGATATTGGTGTCGACTTCGGCATGATTCTCTAAACCTAAAATTAAATTTGGCAACAGTGTGTCCTTGTCGTTCTCCCATAAAGAATGAAAAGAAGAGACTGATGTTCAATTTAGTTTTAAGTTTAGAAAATAATACCAGAATCTACACCATTGCTAATATAATATTTTCTTTATTCAACTTTTATTTGCAATTAGTGGTGGGGTGTTATTAAGACGACTACGCTCAGAGACATTAATTAGCTTTTTATGTTTGTTTAAAGTTGGTGCTGCTACTATCTTGCCATAACAATAACATATATTAAATTAAAATGACGTCTAGTTGCCTCATTTATTAAAAAGGAACATGATGGAGTTTAAAATTGAAAATAATTAATTTTTGGAGCTCCTCCATGCCGCATATGGTTAGCGCGTTTGACTTGCGATCGTGAAAGTTCAGTAAATTTTGCAATAATCGGTCTCACGTTTTTGGTCACCCATCCAATGGTGACCAAAAACATGGGTCACGACCCATCCATCCATAGGATTGGTGCGAGCCCCAGCAGTGGGAACAATAGGCTGATGATGCTGAATCCATCTTCATTTATATTTTTATTTTTTTTTTAAGTAAAAAACCAACGAGAAAGGATACAAAAGTTGATTCACCTTAGACGAGACTATAGGACTGACAATCTCATAACTACCTTTTTCATCTCATTTAAATGACATTAGGTCTCATTCGGTCATGTCACGTGATCGCCGAGACAATTTTATAATAAGTTTTTTTTTTCATTTCGGTCCGTCTCATCAAAAATTTTTGATATTTGAACGGTTTTGATTTACTCAAAAATTTTTTTTTTACTGTTGACCTATTACTATTTTAAGAATTTATATAATATTTTTTAAGATTTTTTAAATATTAATTATAATAATACACTGTTTGCTACATTTTATTGAAATATGTATAGGTCTATAAATGACGTAAGTCCTATGGTAATTATCATAAATCATATTTTATTTTCATCGACTTTGGTTACATTCTGTATCGCTTCTCGTTGATCGTTCTTAAATGTAATTATAATTACATTAAGGGTATATTTCACCACTATGCCTATAAAAAACTGATTGAGTCCTTGTAATTTACAGGTAATCCAAAATGAATAAAATAAATTTCTGTTTTTAATACATCTTGTATAGAATAATGTACCAATAAATATAGTAAAAGACAGTATTATCTAACAATGCGTAACTTTACTAGGAACTTTTCATTTACACTCGTTTCATTTTCTTCTTCTTCCAGGTTACTAATCAAAGCGATCAGGGACAGGCATCCGGACGTGCCTATCCACGTTCACACCCACGACACATCTGGTGCCGGCGTCGCCTCAATGCTGGCTTGCGCCAAATCCGGCGCCGACGTCGTAGACGTGGCTGTAGACTCCATGTCCGGCATGACCAGCCAGCCCAGCATGGGGGCCGTGGTCGCCTCGCTTCAAACCACGCCGCTGCAAACAGGTAACTGTGTCCACACACACACACACACACACACACACACACGCACACACACACACACATACACACCCATACCCACATCCACGCCCACACACACCTACACACGCCGACACCCACACGTACACACGCCCACATCTACACACACACACACCCACAACCACGCCCGCACCTACAAACACACACACATACACACACCCATATCCACGCCCACACCCACATCCACACCCTCACCCACATACCCAAATCCACACCCACATCCACACCCTCACCCACATACCCAAATCCACACCCGCACCTACTCACACAGTCATCCACGCCCGCGTATGTGTGTGGGACACATACTCGCTGATACTACGTGGCCGTGGCTCCCATGTCCGGCATGACCAGCCAGCCCAGCATGAGGGCCGTGGTCGCTTTGCTGCAAACCACGCCGCTGCACACAGGTAACTGTGTCCACACACCACACACACAAAAAACACACACATACAGCACACACACACACAGCACACTAACACACACATGCTGGCTAAAAGATCAAATGACGCAGCATCAAACAATCGAACCAATCAACGCTTACACCCGAGAGCAACGACGCAACCAGAATCAAGTTTTGGTCAAGTTATGAGCATTTGTTTGATCAGTACCAAGTTTTAGTCAAGTTCTGAGCATTTGCTCAAAAATAACAGTGGCGCGCCTGCCACGTCCACAAGGCCGGCATGACTAACCATCCGAGCCTGGTTCGTAGCGTGAATCCGCTAAATGTGAAGAAAAACGACTTATAGGCATTTGATGAATAAAATCAATACCCGTAGGCTATTCATGTTACTCACGTCAGGTAGCTAATTTATTATCTCTGTTAAAATCTCTTAAGCTGTAAATAGTTTCCCTGTCTAGAATACCAGAAAGAAGCGTCGTAGAAAATAATTGGAAATACATTTTAGTAATTTTATAATACTACTAGTGGCCCGCCCTGGCTTCGCTTCGGTGTACAGCTGTAGTGTATGTAGACTAAAATGACTCTTCATATCATTATAAAAAAAAAAAACTGTAAATGGTATATTTGCCTTTTCCAAACTTCTATTGACATCACGACACTCAATTGTTTTGCCTTCCCGGAACCTCTCCACTAACATTTGAAATTTATGGTATGGTATTAAAGCTAAAATTGACTTTTAAGTATTATTATGAATCGTTTGACTTTTTCAGGCAATTTTATAGTTTTTCTCCTCGTAAGAACTATCCTCGTACTTCAAGAAATATTTTAAAAAAAGAATTATCGAAATCGGTTCACTTATTCTTTTATTCAGTTGTTCTCAAGATTTGCGCTTAGCAACACATTCAGCGATTCATTTTTATATTATAGATGAATCATTGATACTGATACGGAAATGAATAGAATGAATGAAATTGTATACGTATTTACTAAATTACAATTTGTGAATGCGTCCTCTTCTCTATTTGCTGTGCCCTGTTCAGGGTCTACAATGATCAAAGCAATGTACCTACTAAGATCTAAGAAAACATTGTAGAACACAATAAAGTATTGATTGATTAACTTAACCTAACGCATTTAATTCTTGCCATACAGGTATTCCCCTACAAAAGATCTCCGAATATTCCGCTTACTGGGAGCAAGCCCGCACTCTGTACGGACCGTTTGAGTGTACTGCGACCATGAAGTCTGGCAACGCTGACGTATACATGAACGAAATACCAGGAGGACAGTACACCAATCTGCAGTTCCAGGCCTTCTCCCTCGGCCTGGGCAGCCAGTTCGAGGAAGTCAAGAAGTCTTACAGGTAGGCACTAAGCTTTCGACACTATAGTTCCTTATCCCAAGGTTGAGTATGGAAACTCGGGCTTCCAAACCGTTTGAGTTTACAGCGACCATGAAGTCTGGCAACGCTGACGTATACATGAACGAAATACCAGGGGGACAGTACACCAATCTGCAGTTCCAGGCCTTCTCGCTCGGACTGGGCATCCAGTTCGAGGAAGTCAAGAAGGCTTACAGGTAGGCACTAAGATTACGAGACTAGAGTTCCAACCTAAGGCTTCCAACACCTGTCTCACTAGCAAGACTATATAGGGCAAAAGACAGTCAGTAAATTGCACTCAATGACGGCACTATATATTGAGATGTTAATTGGACATGTGGCGGTGACATCTACACACCCCACATACAATGGAGGATGAAATCACTCGTCTTGTCAAGAGATGGCGCTACTGGCAGCGCACTCAAGAGTATGGAAGCCTACATGACATCGCGCTAGTGAAATTCGGAGGCAAAAACATAATTATATACAATGCCCGATCTAGGGATGTCGAAAGTTAAAAAAATATCGATATATCGATACATCGATCTTTTAAAAAATATCAATTCGAACGGCTTCGGCTAACATCGATATATCGGACTAATTTTCCCAAAAATATCGTACAGTAGCTCACGAAATATGATACGCGGAATAATAATGGAACGAAAATTATCTCCCTAAAAATAGACCCTATTTTCGAATTTTGAAAATGATTGCAGGGCCTCTCAGGTAAATGATTGCAGGGTCTCTTTCGTTAACAAGACTAGACAGTCACACACTTCACAGAATATAATGGAAATCAGCACAACCAATTCACCAGCGAAACAGATTTACAAATAATAGACAATACTAAATACAGCACAGATCATAGATATGTTGAATATCATTAATCTGAGATCCAGTTACGATTTTTCCAGATACCAATTTAGTTAGATCGTGATATGCCGCTAATAATTAAAAAAATATCGTTTTTGATACGAATTTCGATATTGGTTATTTTGTATCGATGTATCGATATATCGAATCAAAATATATCGGCAAAAAATATCGATATATTTTCAACAAGCCTAGCCCGATCAGCATCGGTGATATCTCGACTTCTACCAGCTCGGTGGAAGGTCTACTCCCTTAAGCCTTCCTACAGACCCATAGTGTTCGGTTTCACGTAATTAGGTGACTGCTAGGCATAGACGTATAAAAATAAGTAGACTCACAATAACTCTCAAAGAGAGTCTGAAGCAAAAGTCTACACATTATCCCATTACATGCCGGCCCTTCACATGGCCCAACTGTCATAACGTCAGACGAGACTCAGACGAGAAAGATGATGATTAAATAATAAGAATCGTTTTATTGTTTTGTCGTAAATAACAGCATTTTTTGTCGTTACTATTAAGCAAATGCTGTGATTTCATATTATTATGTCTACTAATAATACAAAATCAAGGCCCATTGAATGAATTTATTTAGCTACATAGAAATGAGTATATCTTTTGACCAACAGGATTTTTTTACGGCATCATATTAAAAAAAGGCCATTTTTTTATATTTAGATCTTGCGAATTATACTAACATTATTGGCGGAGCTGGGTGTTTTTTGCCTATTGTCCTTTAGTTTTAAGTTTAGAGAATCATACCAGAATCGACACCACTATGCTCCTACCCCAATTATTTTTTTTTATTCCAGGGAAGCGAATCTCTTACTAGGCGACATCATCAAGGTGACGCCTTCATCAAAGGTAGTGGGCGATCTAGCTCAATTCATGGTACAGAACAAGCTTACGGCTAAAGACATCGAAGAGAGGGCCGAGGAATTGTCCTTCCCCAAGTCTGTGGTGGAATACTTGCAGGGGGCCATCGGCATTCCGTACGGAGGGTTCCCGGAACCGTTGAGGTGAGTTTGGTTTAAATATTATTTCTTTTCTCATACCATTGATTCACGCTATTGGGTCATCCATGGAGTATATCATACTAATTTCGTGTTTTTTAACCCCTCCCCGTCACCGTCCTTATCACAGTTTTGGTCACATTTGTGAGACCCCCCCTTCCCTAGTGTGACATCACATATTTTGCATCTAGAAATTATTAAATTAAAACAGCAGTTTCGAAATTAGTCAACAAAAAAAATTAAAACCAATACAGATAGAGCTCTAAATATTTTAACTTCTTTAGGCACGCTAGACTTGGGGGGTAAACTGGCGAATGCGTAAATTTGCCGTTGATGTGACGATATATACAGACGGAGCTTAGGAAGTTTCACTTCAGTCGTATGATTATAAGCACACTCGTTTTTTTTTTACTTCTTAGGTCTAAGGTCCTTAAGGATATGCCGAGAATAGAAGGTCGCCCTGGTGCAGAACTACCGCCTTTGGACTTCAATAAACTGAAGGAGGACCTATCTGAAACTTACCATGGGGTGAGTTAAACTAAATTAAGAATACCAGATAATGGTGTCGATTCAGGAAAATTTAACATAAGCCTCTCCTTTCATTCTGTATGAAGAATGAAAATGATATACTATTGTCAACTCAACTGCTTATACGTACTATAGGCATTACATTTTTTCTGGAACTCTTTATCAATCAGTTAAGAGCGCCAATGCTATATTATAACAAAGTTTGATTTGCACCAATGGTACATTATAATAAAATCTAATTTTCCCCGCAGCTTTCGGATGAAGACGTTATGTCCGCCGCCATGTACCCGCAAGTGGCTAACGACTTCTTCCGCATCCGGGACAAGTACGGACCAGTCAAGCTTTTGGACACTAAGACTTTCCTTACTGGGCCAACTGTAAGTACTAAATAGAACACTTCTTTTGCTAGAAAAGACAATACTAAAAATCTTTTATCCAGCTCGCAGGACCAATACACAGTGTCCTAATTCTAAATAAAGGCAGAAGTAAGTAGGTAATATTGATACAATAGCTCCTGTTTGTCAAAAGGCGGCATTAATTTTATACTTTTATTCTTATTACATGATGTAATTTAATGTAAATGTTTAAGTAATATAATCTTCCATTATGTATTATGTGTACTTTACATTGATTCGATTTCTTTTAATAATAACTTTATTCAAGTTGTTCTGTGCAAATTGCCACGTACCTCAATTACGTGCAGTTTATGCCGGCACTTCGCTTGGCTATTCGTGTTTGCTATTTGTAAACTTTACACAAGTCTGTCCTTTTTATTCTTTTCAAAGCATGATAAGAAGACACTGTTGACAAGTTTACAAATTTAAAGCATTTTCGTTTTAGTTGTTTTTAATCCAAGGCCCTATAAATTACACTATCACTGCATGTCTGCTGATAAGTTTCAGTAGAATTCGCCCTTATTCTTCCGTACTCACTGAAGCATTGCAGAATTTCATTAACCTGCATTTAGGCAGAAGTTTTATCCCGCCCAAACGAGTGTTCGAATTTACCTTGGATTATATATTAGGAGGACCGAAAAGTAGTCGTTTTTTCACATGTCGACATTCGATAATCGTTCGCCAGTTTACTGTGTATCTCGAACACGTGAACGGGTTTTTTATATATAAGTGTGACTTGTTTTTACTACAGTACTACTGTACCCCTAGCACGAACCAATATCGAATTCGTATCGTTGGCGAGTCCGAAATGTCATTGTCAAATGTGTACTGATTTTTAGTTCTCGTTACGTACTTTTTGTTGCTGCTGTTCAAGTTTCCATACAAAATTTGACATTAACATTTCGGTTTGCAAACTATGCGATTTCGATAGTGGTTCGTGCTAAGGGTACAGTTTGGTCACTGGAGATGAAAAATGGGTCCTATACGAGAATCCAAAACGCAAAAGGCAGTGGCTCTCCCTAAATGAACCAGCACGCCGTACTGCAAAGCCGGGATTACACTCCTAGAAGGCGCTTCTGTGTGTTTGGTAGAGCATCTGCGAAATAGTCCTAAAGTGCTTAATCCTGGACAAACTATTAATGCGTGAACCAAGCTTTAGTTGAGAATTACCCGGCTATCGTCAACAGAAAAGGTGTCTTTCTTCAACATGACAATGCAAGGCCGCACTGTGCAAGACGAACGCTAGAAAAAATTAATGAATTGGGATGGAAGGTGCTGCCTCACCCTCCATATTCACCTGATTTTCATTTGTTCCGATCCCTACAGCACTTTCTAAGTGACAAAAAACTTCAAAGTTTGGACGACTTAAAAATGGCATCTCCAGATATTTTGATAATAATAATAATAATTTCCAACACTCGCACCAATTGGCCTAGCCCCAAAGTAAGCACTGTAAAGGCTTGTGTTATGGGATACTAGGGTAACGGATAGAATACATATTTTATACATATATAAGTATATTTATATGAAATACATATTAAACATCCATGACTGGAGTACAAATGCTCGTATTCATCACACAAACATCTGCCCCCACCGGGATTCGAACCCGGGACCTCTCGAGTCGGCGACGCCATGAAACCCGGCGTATAAGCCACTCGGCCACGGAGATTTTGATGACATACCAATAGATTTTTTTCGGTCTGGTATAGAAAATTTGCCCACCAGATGGCAAAAGGTTGTGGAAAATGAGGGTAATTACATCATTGATTAAAAATAAATATTATACAAAAAAATCGTTTAAATTTAACGTTAAAATACGACATTTCTTTCCGGTCCCCTTATTACATCCTAGATACCTTATTACCTGCACTAAAGCGGCGGAAGAAATATCTTCTACATATGGTATATAATTATGCTTGTCACTACACATGCACATGTTGACTGCTTTTACAATCTGATATTAGTCACGTACACATTGCGCGTAACATGAGCCCTTTGCGTGGTTTATTTGGATTGTTCTATCTAGATGTATCAAAAGAATGTAATTACCCTACTCAAAAACAAGTTTTCCAATTTAACTAACCTACCCAAGTACAATCTAGTTCATCTTTCTATTAACAGGTCGGCGATATTATCGAAGTGAAGATCGAGCGAGGCAAGACATTGGACATTCGTACTCTGGCCGTATCCGAAGAGATGACTGCGGCCGGCGAGAGAGAAGTCTTCTTCGAACTAAACGGACAATTGAGATCTGTGTTCATACGGGATGAGAACGCTAGCAAGGTAATTTTTATTTAAGTATAGAATTTAGGTAGAATTATAAGAAATGTAAGGTATTCGAGCTAAAAAGACAACCGAGATCCGTCTTCATATGAAATGAGAACGTTAGCAAGTTAATTATTATTTATGTATAGAATTTCTGTCGAATTATAGGAAATGTAAGGTATTCGAGCTGAACGGTCAACTGAGATCCGTGTAAAAGTAATTAAGATTTATCGAATTTGCATAGTATTTTAAGAAATATTCAAATGTCTTGAAACTCAATGGACAACCGAATTAACTGAGATGCGTGTTCATACAGGATGAGAAGCTCTCAAGACATTTTTTATTTGCATGGACTTATGTTTGCGCATCATTTATTGTTCTTCAATGAGACATAATAACAAAGTTAAAAAGATTGGTAATGAATTCTTTTTATATTTGCCTTAATAGCAAGACGGAATTAATTGTTTCAACAAACTGTTCCGTACAAGTAAAAACGTTTATATATTTTAATTCATGCTTACACCTTTTTTTTTTCAGGAAATGAAAATCCACCCGAAAGTTGTAAAAGGTGACAAGCACCAAGTCGGAGCTCCAATGCCTGGAACTGTTTTGAGTGAGTCTATTTTGCTTGTAATTTATATACATCAGTGGCCTATTGATATGCCATTTCTCTTCTGTACATCATCTCCCTATTATATTATCCCAACTAAACCACAGGAATTCTCCATGAATGGAGTCAAATACAGGAAACGGATAATTTTAATACATTAACGCGGACCCCGTGATGATTGGTGGGTGCTAACACGTGCATATTCAACTGGAGAAAATTCTGCTTAACATAAAGTCAGGAGGGATTAGAGATAGGTTTTAAAGTTACAATCCTGAGATTTAAAACTATAATTACCAAAATATGTATGTTACAATTCATTGTTCACTAGCAAGTGCCTGTGATCTTAGCATTTTGGTTTAAGTGCTTTACCATGCCTAAATTTTATCCCGTTCAAGGGAAACAGTAGTCTTTAACGGTCTCCAAGATCCCATCTATCTCTACACCGAAATTCATCACAATAGATTCAGTGTTCCAAAATACAAACAAACTCACTTTCATATTCATAATGTTGTACACAGAGAACTAAATCGCTCCATTTTAATATTATATTTTCCAGTATTTTTTTATTGAATAATTATATTTTATTTGAAGTATTTACACAAAACCTTTGAAATTACCTAACTTTAATATTTTTATAATTGACCAAAAAATACTAATTTTATCATTTTCACTGTTATCTACAGCGATAAAGGTGAAGGAGGGTGATAGTGTGGAGAAGGGTCAGCCAATAGCTGTACTATCTGCCATGAAGATGGAAATGATAGTCCAAGCGCCCATGGCAGGAGTCGTCAGAAACATTGCCATCTCTAACGGACAGAAGTTGGAGGGAGACGATCTTATCTGCAACATCGAGTGAATTTAAAAATATAAAAGGCCCGATTCTGACATGATTCTATAGGACTATTTTTTTTTTAATTTAAAAAAAAAATTTAAAGATTTTTTTACTTGGGTCTTTATTCAGACATAACTTTTTTAATAAATAATTGTGTATATTTTATTACTCTCGAATGTGTGCCTTTTGGCGAAGGCTGTTCCCATCTTTTCCTTTCCCTAGGAAGTCTTCCCTTCCTAACTTTACTGTCATCCTCCCATTTTATCCCTTCATATTTATTTAGTACCTTATTATGCTCTATAGAGAATGAAATGGTTAGAGTGCGGTCAAATTGAGTTAAGAGAATCATGCCAGAATCGGCCCAATATCCTCTATTGAATGAATACTTGAATCAGATACCTAGATGTGATAAATAATATATATATATATTAGAGCAGAATATCAAACCTTCCCAAATGATGCTTAATTAAAAGTAAGTCTTTTTAAGTTAAACGAGTTTATTTGATATTGCTTAAGTTTATTGAGATTGGGACTGCTGTATTTGTATATGCTGTTGTTCTTGTTTTATGTAAAGTTGCGTGATAAAAGACACGAATTTTAAATGAGTTTATGAAAGCTATACTGTTTTGTGGATTTATTAATTTATTTTTATAAAATATTGTACGTCATACAGAGTTATACCTGTGATACCGCCACTATAAATAATTATAATTATTAATAATGTCAATAATCATAATATGCACATTCAATACATCACAGTAGAAAAACAAAATTTCTTAGAAATTTGTATATTGTAGGTTTTATTAGTCATTCCATCCTATTGTAAATTAATGTTTATGCTTTTTACTTTTTCGTTATAGATTTTAGTTAAGAAGGAACATCAAAGATGCGTTCTGGTGCTCATTTTGTTACTTATATAGTTTTACTGTTATTTTTCAACGTTTGTATTTTTATTTAATAAAACTTTAAGGATATGGAACACAAGGTCTTTTACTTTTTGACTAAAACAACGTTTATATATTTTTTTGATCAGTGCATTCGCCCGGAGAGCGAAAGGTGCGGGTTCGAGTCCCGTCTGCTGCTTGGTCCGCGTGGAATTTTATCTAGTAATATTTTCTTTAGATGAAAAAAAGGTTATGAAAAAACAGACCTTTTTAAATTTAAAAGTATAATTTGTATTTTTGTTTAAATATAATACAATATTCCATTCAAATCATAATTATTATAACATGATTCATTTTTAAACTATCATATTTTTAAACAAATATAGAAGTTATTCTAAACGTACATATTTCTTTAATACTAGGTGTTAATCATGATATACAAAGTTACAATTAAATAGTCTTTTCGATAAAACTATGGAACAACTAACAATTCATAGCACATACATCATTTCAAATAGGTATTGATAAGGTTTTATATAAGAGGGACCTTAAAGTATAAAAACCATTAACATTTTGCCTTATTTTGAAATCGCTCATACACAAGAAGTCGGCTTATGGCGCCGTAGACAAAACAACCTTTTTCCGTACAATACATCAAAAGTTTTCTACAGATAATCGTTACTATGGGTTATTTCGTTGTTCTATACCAACTTATTTGTAAACTTTAATGTTAAGAGAAAAAAGATTTCCACTTGGCAAAGCCTTCAGGTATCATAAACAACACTTGTTGCAAAGGTGCGAACCTCAATATAACGCAGACTTATTTTAAAGATATCCATGGTAACTGTAGGATACGAATCTTTTATTAATTTCACTTGGACATTATAAAAATGGCACTCCATTTCAAACTTATATAAAACATTCAGAGATCGACTAATATATTATGAAAAATAAAATACAATTATGTAACGAGCAATCCATGGATTCACCGTGCGGGTGTCGGATCCATCGTATGGGAGAGAGAGAAACTGAGCAGTTCCCGGGAGTTGCGACCATAGAGGTATAAGAATAGAGTAGGGGAGATATAGACTCTACTACAAGTGGAAGTGTCCCTCTAATAGAAAGAGAAAGAAGATGTGAGGCCGCTAGCTTTCTCTCCCTAATCGCGCATGCGCATTGGTAACCGTAAGCATCTTACTATTTGGATGTGATGCTTGGACCAACTATTGGACAGACGACTGCGCATACGTCACATGAGAGAGAGAGATAGCTAGCGGTCTTTCATCTTTCTCTTTCTACTAGACGGACACTTTTAGAGCCGCCTGCCCCACTCTATTCTAATACAAATGAAATATCAAGTTGAATTATAAATAATGAATATTTCCAACACTCACACCAATTAGCCTAGCCCCAAAGCATGTATAAGGCTTGTGTTATGGGATGCTAGGGTAACGAATAGAATACATATACTGTACATATATAAGTATAATATAGTAATACATATTAAACATCCATGACTGGAGTACAAATGCTCGTATTTATCACACAAACATCTGCCCCCACCGGGATTCGAACCCGGGACCTCTCGAGTCGGCGACACCATGAAACCCGGCGTACAGACCACTCGGCCACGGAGGTCGTCAATCCACACTTTCTTAAGTAGCGCATCAGTTAGTTGTGCTGAGTAAAAACAGACTTTTTAGACCATTTTTTAGTAAAGATAGTACGGTTCATTATTATTTAACATTATTAAGTAAAGAATAACACTTCATTACTACTCCAAAGACATACTGTGACGAATTGGCGACAAAGTTTATCATGAATGATCGAAGTAATTCTATATTTCGGCAATGACTTTAAACAAATCAGTCGGTTTTTCATATAAAAATCATATGCGTAGTCCTCATTCCCACTACTTCTTCTCGAACGATTTACATTATATCGACGACTACTGTCGCCGACTCGAGAGGTCCCGCGTTCTAATCCCGGTGGGGGCAGATGTTTTTGTAATGAATACGAGCATTTGTACCCCAGTCGTGGATGTTAAATATATGTATTTCTATATAAATATACTAATATATATTCAATATATGTATTCTATCCGTTACCCTAGTATCCATAACACAAACCTTACAGTGCTTTCTTTGGGGCTAGGGTAATTGGTGTGTGTTGGAAATATTTATTTTATATTTATTCGTTAAATTTAAAAACATCAAGGGTTCTTTGCTTTGACCTATTGATAGGACCACGATATATGTACGATACATTAATATATTAGTGGTCCTACTAAGCTAGTGGGAACAAACACTAAACAAAAAAAACATGTATATAGTCACATTTATTATGTTGGTTGGGTAGCCATTGTATTCAAGATTGACAGACACACATCTATACTTCTATACTAAAATTATAAAGAGGGAAGATTTGTATGTAAGTATGTTTGTAACGTATTGGCTCAAAAAGTACTGGACCGATTTTAAAAATTCTTTACCTTTTGAATGCTACATTATTACTGATTAATATAGGCTATAGTGTATTTTCAAAAAAGTTAGGGTTCCGCATGAAAAGTTCGATAATGTAACCCAACGTGTGTAAAAAATACCAAAAATAGCCTTGTATCGCGTACGCCGCGAGAGTCATTGACAATACAGCAAAGTGATGTACTAAAGTTTTATAGAGGATACCAATATCTACAAATAAGTCTGCGATACCATATGTCTTACTATTACAGCTGCGGTTTCACCCGCGTTAATTTGAAGAAAAAGGTTATTAGATAGACATACTTAAAATATGGTCATAGGCTGTCGTGTACTTTTTTACAGAACTTTTAAAGGGGAAGAATTAAGCAATACTTGATTTTTGTGTAACTTTAACCGTTTACCCAGCGCACGCAACGGAATCTCACAAATGAAATATTTTTACCCATTTTTGCAACATTTTGCATCGATGCTCCGATGCTACTTGTCGTAAGCCTGGTAATATATAGCCTATAGCCTTCCTCTATAAATGGACTGTCCAATACAAAAAAAAATTTCAAATCGGAACAGCAGAGCAATGTTGCATTCGGTACAACAGGTCCTAAACTACGCAACGAATTTTATACTTGGAGTGAAGGTTTATATTTATTATGAAGAAAGTCATTGTGTATAATACAAGCCTTTGAACAAAATCTATAGTCTACACTACAACTCTACACCGAAGCAAAGCGAGGGCGGGCCACTAGTTCATTATAAATTGGGATTTAATATCACAAGATTGATTTGTATGCTTCTTGTCTGTTATGTGCATCAAATATATTGATTCATTGTTAAACCAACCATACTGAATTCCTAGTAAACAAAATGATTTAACAAAACCAGTACTTGAATCACGAATTGGTTTTATTTCATAATAGCTGCGCGTGAAAACATAAGAAAAAAATTGCATAAAATCTAGGAATGAATTATATAAAATAATGTCAGTCATCTGACATAAATGTAAGAAAGTCAATATTAAATACCCTAGATACAACAATACGAACAAAATCGTGCCCGAAACCTGTCCGAAAGGTACAAGGGACTACCCACGGCGCTCCGTAAGATGATCGGGTAGTGAAAAACAATATAAGGCATTATTTAAACATTGAAAGTCACCTTCAATGTATACTGTATAAGGTCTTAATTAAAACGACTACGACGGGACACATTTTGAGCGCATGTGGTGTATCTAGGGTATTTAATATCGTTGAAGAAACTGCTATATTTCGATCAGTAGTTATATTCAACAACGGAATTGAACAGGCCTCCGCAAGACTTATCAAAGTAAATAGTAATAAGTATGTAAATATTAAAATTATTGACATTCATATGTTTTATTTATTGCTGTTAAACATAGACTCCACATATACATAACGCACATCCAACTCGCTATATTATGACAGGGAAACACTATTACAAATCTTTAACCTTAAAATTATATTTAAACTAGCTGTGCCCCGTGGTGTTACCCGCAGTAAAATGTAGCCTATGTGTTTAAACCAGGGTGTCAGATAATAAGCTATAAAAATCGCCCCAGCCATTTAGACGTGAAGAAGTAACAAACATACACACTCACAAACTTTTGCCTTTATAATATTAGTGTGATATTTATAATTCGTACTTTAATCAGAAGTATGACTAAAAATATAACTCCTTAAACTAGAAGAGATCATGCCTAATTAGAATGTGCATTTTCCGTATAAGTATCGCCTAAAAAGAATAGGAATTAAAAATAAATAGTAAACATTATGCATAATTAATAAACCTGTTATAAATATACATTAGATTACTATCAACCAATTAATATCACATTTGTTCAGCGAATTGGTAAGTATATGGCCAAAAGTAAAAATCAAAAACAGATATTTTGGCACTAAAAACACAGGTTTAAATATTTTTGACTGATAATTTAAAATCGATTAGAGCACACCAGGCTTAATTAAATTTGAATATTTCTGAAACTGATTTTGAACCTAAGCATATTTGGCTTAAAGGTAAAAAATTTGTTTTTTACTGTTCTATATGATAAGGCTGATTTTCGGTAAGTATATTTAGGGCTTTGTTGTTCAGAAGCATAAAAAAAGCATAATAAAATATTTTTATAAATAGAGCTGAAACCGAAAATGTTTACTGTTGGCAACTATTTTCTATGTGATCTAGTAGCTATCCTAAACATGGATATAAAGTTACTTTTGCTATACCATATTTTGAGATAATGAAAATTGAAATTGCACAACCTAATGGTCAATTCAGACTAGCGCAGAGTCGAAGCGCATCGAATCTAATTTCAGGGACGTAACAAAGCAAATTCACTATGATCACCGCAGCGTAATGCACATATTCCTTCTGAAATAAAAAGACAACGAAGTCGAAAATTATGAACAAAGTCGCGCTCATTGTTCTGATTATCAGCCCAGAAGGAATATGTGCATTGAATTGCGGAGATAAATAATAATAAATAAATACATATTTCCAACACTCACACAAATTAGCCTAGCCCCAAAGTAAACACTGTAAAACTTGTGTTATGGGATACTAGGGTAACGGATGGAATACATATACCGTACATATATAAGTATATTAATATAGAAATACATATACCCGGGACCTCTCGAGTCGGCGACAACATGAAACCCGGCATACAAACCACTCGGCCACGGAGGTCGTCAATATGAATTAGCTATGTTACCGTTACCAAAATTCGCTTCGATGTATTTCGACTCTGCGCTGGTATGAATTGACCTTAATGCACATAGTAATTAATAATATTGACTGATTACATGGTAAGTAATAGGCCACTTCAAAATGCAACTTTGTTGCAACTGCTATATGATAGCGGTATTGTATTAAAATAATTTGCGGTCAGTCTAATAGCCTAACATCACTTACATTATTTATTACCTGTTTCCATATGTGGGTACGCTCTTTGACTCGGAAATTGACCTTCCACGAACGAGAATGTTTTAATAAAAGTTTTCCCGCATTCAAAGCACATGTCGTGTTCAGACGGTTTTGATATTTATTTATATATTCCGTCATTGAAATTCATTACATATAGGGGTAATAATTATATTATCATATAATATAAGAATGATGCAATTGTCTTATGGCTTCTAATACATTGATGAAATAGGTAATATAATGTCAGTATTCTAATTTAAATTTCATATGTAATTCAAAGGTCGCAGTCTTCTATATCTTAAAAAGCTCAGTTCATTTAGGTTTTTTGTTTAGATAGATATCTACGAGTACTATTTCTCAATCATGACAGGAAAACAACAAAGTTAACAAACCAATAAATCATGGCAAATACTATAAGTAGCAGTTTTTCAGTCACAATGTTTGTTTAATGTAAGAATGTTATAATGCAACTATAGAATATGCTAGTGTCTACTGAGAATAGACACTAACCATATTTTTTTATAATGATGATTCTCAAGTCCATTACTATACAACTCATACTATTAATAAAAATTAACAAAAATATGCTCTATATTGATACAGTTAAAACTTCATTTGCCTATGCAATGTTTACTATTCACGAACAAAATTTAAAACTGGAATTCATAAACTCGTTTGTAGCAACAATCAAATGAAAATATGCAATAAGTACGTATTATTAAAGAATTTTCTTAGGAAAAAAGTAGGTTTAATCAACTTCACCTGGGTCCAACAGCGATTTATCAACATGAGTATTTGAAAATGATTCCACTAAGTCTTGGGCCACCATATCAGTGGTAGATTGCGGCTTCATACAAATATGATCGCGGTCTTCTAGATCATTAATGGAATTTACAGAATTATCGCTGAGACTGAGACTCGAATCTGCATCATCTCCATAGCAACGACGCTTGTGATCGGTGGGAAAGTTATGGTAGGAATGTTCTACTCGGACTGCTTGCATTGTATTGCTGAAACACAAGAAGGTCACATTTTAAAGGCTAAACATGGCATTCTTGTCTCTACTGCACTTTAAAATGCAAGTAATAGAGGAAGATCACTGATTTTCGTGGCGGACGTCAAAAATTAGTGTGAATTATCAAAATAATATGCATAACTCCACAATAAGCGAAATGGGCTATGTAATATGCAAATGGTGTAATAAAATAGAAATTTGTTATATTATTTACCTTGTTTTTCTAAGAATGGGCCTGCCCATTTCAACTTGCAATTTCAGAGAGTATAACTTGGCTAGAGACTCCAGCTTTTCCTTCTCACCAGGATCATGAAAGCTGGGCAACTTCAGCTCACTTTGGCAAGAATCTTGCAGGAATTTGGACAGTTGCTCATTAGCCGCACTCAAAATAAGAAACCCTGGCCTCTCCTCTCTTATTCGCCGACAACCGGCCCTTATCTCCCTGACTTCCGTCACTCCCTGCCCCATGGAATGCTCACTGAAATAATGATCGCTTTGTGGCGATCTCTCGCTCACGTTTAAATCACTCGATGAAGTTTTCTGTAACGAAAAGTTTGTTCTCGGCGTCTGACTGAAAACTTCATCCTGCTGCGCCGACCTCTTCTGAAACGCCTGGAAAGATTGAAAAAATGACTCGTTCGCGTTCTGCCCTGACACACCGGCGTTCTTTATATCGCTAAAACTAGAAAAAGACGAGTGGGGCTGCAAAATGTCTCGATTTTCCTTACAAATTATCTCGTCTTCCAAGTCCACAATAGTCTTTGAATCTGACATCATTGCATCATCATCATTACCTGAATCAACTTTGACTCTCTTCTTTTTGAATCTGTTCTTACAACTAGCCCATCCACTTTTGACAAGGAGTTTTTCTTTTTTTAGCCTCTTTGGTGGAGGCATAGTCATGGAACTGGGAGAGTTATTGTTGTTGCTGACAGATTTGGATGACTTGAAAGTCAGACTCTTATTAAAGACTTTTAGCTCTTCAATTCCAGGCCAGTCAGTTAGTTCATCATCTCCTTCTCTATCACTATCATTAGTTATAACTCCGTCAGAATCACTACTACTTAAAGAGCTCGATTCATTCCCTGCACAGTCCATTCCACTATTTGAGTCTTCAAACTGCAATGGATTCCTTAAAGAGTTGGGTGGATGACTTTTATTGAACATCTTAAATTTTCTATGATACTTGCCTGTGCTTGTTGTAGGGTTGAAAACCGGTGGCAAGTCAGTGGTTACTTTATATCCAGTTATTTTGGAAAGTGTTGGTGTCCCGTTTTTCGATAAGTTTTTGTAGACGAAATTGAAACTGGAACTACCGGGCAAAGAAGGTGTGTTAGAAAATAGGGATGACTTTGTGCCTTCAACATTTTGGGATTTTAGTATGATTTTCCCTGGTTGTAAAACAGCGTCCTTTCTTTTCTTTTCACTGTCATATCTTTTACATTTGATATCATTTTTGAAAAATGTTGATTTGGATGAACAACCACCACTAAATGACCTCTCTCTCATTTCACACACATCTCCCTTATCCCTGTGAGACCATTTTCTTTTGCCACAAAAAGCATTCCTGAAACAGTGAAAGATAAATCATATTCCAAAATGTATTTAATTTTAGAAAGTTTAAGTTTGCTATTCATAATGTCGTATGCCTACTAGTAATCAAGTCATACAGATAAAGACTTGAACACTATCTATCATAATACTATGCACATGCCTACATATTAGATAGTGCTAACTTAAGCTTATAGCCGTATATAACTTTATGAACTAATTGGGTCATTCATCAAACATGTGCTAACTAGCTGTACATAACTTTATTTACTAATGGGTCAATATTTTATCAAACATATGCTGTGTTTTTCTGATAGATTTATGAAGTTAATAGCTAATTTAATCATTTACCTTTCTTGTTTATGTTTGCTCAGGTGTGGAATCGAAGTCAAGCCCTGAGTTTGTAGGACAATTGTAGTTGGTATGGCATTGGACTGAAATTATATTACATAGATATTAAATTGTCAGTGACAAATTGAAGTACATACATAATTTATTATATATTTTTTTATGGCCAGGCCAGGTCATTTGCCTAAATGACTCTACACCACCTGATGTTAAGTGGTGATAAAGTCCAAAAGCGAATATATCTGGTACAGTAGTTATATACTGCTACACCAACTATCCTCACATTGCTGGCCTGCAAAAATGCTTCTTCAAGCCTCTCTTAAAATAGCCCAGATTGCAGTTATTATATTTATATTTTAGGCATGAAAGTGAAGAAAATTTTACTAGAAAAAGGTCACTTAGTCCAAATGAAGAAGTAATTCATCATCAACAGCCTATACTAGTCCACTGCTGGACATAGGCCTCTCCAATTGCACGCCACTCAGATCAATCTTAATTAATAAGTAATTACTATAGCAATACTCGGAGTAGCACATTGATTCTCTTGGTACCTATTCTCATTATTGCTTAATGATAACCTAAATTTGTCAAATAATGTTAACTGTTTATTAATGACTGCTACACAGTAACTGTGATATCTCGGCATGTAATGACTTTAATGTCAAATATTGGAACTATTGATGCACAACAGTAAGATTTTACAGAAACAGCACGCGGAATAATTGTTATGAATAGAAAAAAACAATACAAACATTTTGAAGTGGCTTTCGCTTACAGCAAACAAATGCATTTAAAATAAATTATGTTAAAATGTTAATTTTATGTGATCATCTGAATAGGGTAGATATCTACCCTATTCAGATGATCACATGGAGCAAATGAGCAATAATAACCCCATAGCTGTTGTAAAGCGAAAATAAATCTAATTTATTGCTAACAGTTGGCCTTTTTTGGACAACAATAGCAGCAGAGAGATCACTAATGAAGAAGATGGAGGAGAGATACTAAACTCTGTTTCTGTTTTTTCATGTATTTGCAAAGTTATTTGACAAAATCAAGTTTCATTGTTCTAAAGAAAAGCAATTGTGGACCAACAATAAACCAGCAACAGAATTCTATTTACCACTAAGTCAAACAAACAAACATTAGTAATTTAAAATAACATATCATATTGATCAAAACCAACAACTCAATGATAAAAATACTATGAATACAGAGGCCCAAGCATGAATTTTGACAGTTCTGTCATCATAAAATTTTGTATGGAATAAGCTAGTTTGGTTTTATGTCTGATAGAGGTGCTGCTTAACTTTCATAGAAACTTTCATGATGTGATACAATTAAAGAGCTGTCAAAATTTGTGCTTGGGCTTGCAAACTATTGGACAAAAAGGGGTGAAATATTAATTCATAATTATGTACCTCGGTAGTGACACTCAAAATCTCAACGGGAGGAGATCTTTTTCCATCTGTATACTCTACAGGCATCTTTTTATATTTCCTTTTCCTCCTGGCATTGGCAGGCCTAGTTGGGGAGAAGTTCTCATTGAAGGAATCGGATTCAAAGTTCCCTATCTGGCAATACTGCCTCGATTTCAGGCTAGTGGATTTGTGCAAGCTGAGATGAGGATCATCAGAGTCCGATAATGGCTGAGTTATCAATGGTGCCTGTGGCGGACTACTTGAACTTCCATCTTCCACTAAACTCACAGCTACTGCAGCCGCTGTAATTAAATACACCTGTCACATACAATGGTCCACTTAAGGACTAAATGAGGACATCATATCCTTCAACTTTGACATAAATAAACTTTTGTGGATATACTGTACTTTCATGGGCCAACAGTAGAAACTTCTCATTTTTTTTGTAGGAAAGGTTTCTGTTAACCACCTTATTAAACAGTGTCCATACCAGTGTTGCAAGGTCCGATTAAAAAAATATTAAAGTTAAAGTTTTGAAAATTTACATTGATGTATTTAATTATTGTTTCTTTGTAGTAAGTAAGACAAAAGTTGAAATTAGCCTACTGCCATCGAAAATAAAAATTAACCACAAATATCACTTAAAAAATCTATTAAAAGCTTTTATGTGTATCATATAAATAACGATTAGTAAAAGAGAGTAAGTAGGTAAATCAAAAGAACAACATTATATAATTTATTTTATTTTTTTACAGGACGCGTCACGTAAAAAGAATGCTGGTGGTTAGACTGCACAGTAGGTGATTTATCGGTCTATTTGGTGGTAAGAGGTGCGGCACGGGGCAGGTGGCTCACGCGTTGAATGCTTACCGGAGCGCTATTGGTTCGTCAGTCGTCCCTTGCTTTTCGCGCTGTGTCCACGCTCGTTTGCTCTTAGAATACCATCGCGCACAAAAGTATTAAATTCGAAATGGTTTATACATAGAAAAGTAAGAATTTTTTTTTAGGACGTTTATTGTTTACGAAGAGAGAGGCTGATAATAATGCAGTTGTTAATATAAAACAATGTATTAAACAAAAACCAATTACAGACATTGACAGTTTTGACCAAGGTGTTATAAAAAGAACCATCCACAATTTCCACGTCACTGAAAAAGAATTGCCTACTATAGGCAAGTTACTAAAGAAGTTACCTTCCTCATCTGGTTTTAATCTCACCCAGGACGACCTTATGGAAGGAGTTTCAACATTACTTTAATTTTTACAAGCTTTTATTAATAAATATTAAACATTATACACTGAATTAAACATGTTTAATTCTATTTAATAATATTCTAATATTTTTTGCAATGTACCTTGGCATAATCAATATACAAAGCTGCCAGTGCAAGCTTAATTAAGATTTATTTTAAACAAAAGGGCTAGTACTTTTGTGCGAGTGTACCCATGTGCAAACACACTCTCCACTTTCTTCCAGCATTCTTTTTATATGATGCGACTTGTACCTAGGTACTATCTTATTATAAGGTTGTTTATGTAACTTAAATACAGAACCGACTTTCTCAACCCCAAAATGCTGTCTTGGTATGCCATGCCCCTAGTGTTTTAAGAGAACAGAGACGTGGAGGGGGAAAAGCCCCCGCCCACTGTAACAAAGCCACACGAACACGGAACCTGTAGCAGCTGCAGACAAGCCATAGCTGAGGTGGGAAGTGTGAATGCATGTGGTATTTTTTTGCAAGGGCGAAGGGGCCTGCTAGTCTCGTAGCACCAGAGATTAGAAGTGAAGTGCAGTATTATAATAAAGTTTGGTAGAAAACTATATATACTTATACTTTCCCCTTCCTTGCAATCCCTGAAAATCACTGGCCCTCCTATAAATCCTCGTTGGCTGTATGCTAATATTGACATGAAATAGGTCATAAAATAAAAAATATGGCTACATGCTCTCTGTGCCTTCTACCCTCTCTAAATAAGAGAACATGAAAAAAATCTATGTAATTTGTCAAAATGGTGATAATATTACTAAGAAAAGTAATATTTTTTAATGTTTTCTCAGAAACTGGTGAGGAGACTTTGCAGAGATTTCATTAACAGAGATCTTTTCACTAAAATATAGTGGTATCATTTTTTGGGCGCAGAAAGTACAGTTTTACCAGAATTAGTTTAAATCAAAGGCACTTACGCAGGTTGCCTGCAGATCTAGTGCGCCTTCGGAGCCCTAGTTTCCGCCTCTCCTGCCGGCCGCAGTTACTTTCTTCTAGAGCCAGGTTGAAATCATGCGACAACCTCTCCATACTCTTTAGACAGCCTGATTATCTTGAATCACAACACCCATTGTCATTTGTAATCATAAATATCTAGAGACTACGATACACTTAGGAAGATACCGTTTTGTTGAATTGAATGCGTTCTTATTCTTCAACACAGATAATTATTACTATTAACTTAAGTTATTTTTTTAATTTACAAGGATTATGTGCGGAAATATCTTTTTATTATTTTGCACAGAAGCTACCAGAGACTTTTGTTTATTATATTTGTACAAGACATATTGTTGGTTTCGAGTAATATGTTTTCAAGAATAGCACACGCACTTTTAATTAGCTCTTGATTTCATAGAGATATATATGTAAAAGTCTTTATTTTATGGACCAACACGTAATTGAATGTTTTTTCACTTTCACGAAATGACAAAAAAATGAAACACAACATGTTATCTTTTTTTAACTTTCTCCGTTTTTAGGGAAGACAAAGAAAACGATACCCATACAGCCTAGTCTTCAGTTTCCTTTGTTCTTTTTTTACAATATGCGTGTGAGTGTGACGCATTCTAATGTTTCTTGGAGTATTTGGCACGAAATGTATCGAGTCGGCTTTCTCGATAAGCTTCCGTGAGGTAGTTAACACTACAATAAAGTTTTCATGTCCACTTGACCGGAATAGCGTATATTTTAAAGATTCCATTAATTTTTCAATTGTGCAGACGGTTGTAACACAAAATCAGACGGTTGTAACAGAAAATTATGTTTCATAAAATCCACTTCAAACAAATTAATTATTTATGACGCCAACCGCACTCGATGAAATCCCGCCAAAAAATACTTTTGATTTATATTCTCCCTTTATGAAAAAGCAAAGGGTTACAAGTCTATACAGCCTCTTTAGTTTTATTTAGTTTTAATAACTCTTATTTTGCATTTATTTGCAGTTTCATTTTGAAATCTTTCTCACCTTATCATTCGATATAGATTTGTATAGAGAATGACAAGGCTACACTGATATCAAATTTAAGTTTAGGTTCAGAGAATCAAGTATCCTCTCCAATATATTATTTGTCATGCGGACGTAACACATTTCTTAGGGGGTCATTCATTTAATACTTATGATAGATTTAGTAGGGCCCCTCCCCCATCAGGGGTCGACCGTGTCTTATTTTTTCTTAAAATGGGTGGGAGGAAGTCTCGATAGTTTTTAAGTACGATTACAAAAATGCGCAAAGTTAAAATTATACTTTAAAAAGCTCGGGTAACCGCACGATTGTTGAGGTTCGCTTGGATACGTACAGGTAAACTATTCCCATTTCCAGGGCAACGGATACAAGCCACTAGCAGTACACATAATGAAAAAAAAATTTTTTGAAAAATAAACATTTAAACACACCTAACGTGTCTCATTTTTGCTTTAGATTCTTACGTAATAAATATTATTGTTACCACGGGGTGAGGGGGTCGGCCTATTCTTATCTTTTCTTATAATAGGGGGAGGGAGGGAGGGGGTCAAAAACTAGCAAAAATAGTCTTACATATTAAATGAATGGTGCCTTATCGTTCTCTGCAATTCAACATGGTAACTCTATTTTCTGCAATGCCCAATGAGTTTTGAAAATCTCATAGTCAACGAGTTCCAAAATACAGTTGTAATGTTGCAATGGCGGTTAAAAGCGAATCGACACCATTATAATATTTAACAAGTCAGGAAAGGCTGTATGGGCTATGCTTTCTGCATTTCTTTTGGAAAAAAAACAACGGCTTTTTTGGCGGGATTTCATCGAGTGCGGTTGGCGTCTTAATTTAATTATTCTTAAATTCGTTCATAGTGGATATTGTGAAATAAAATTGGTGTGGTTTTGTGTAACAACTGTCTGCGTAACTGAAGAATTAGTGGAATCATTAAAATATACGCTATTCCGGTCAAGTGGACGTGAGAATTTTATTGTAGTGTTGACTACCTCACAGAAGCTTATCGAAAAAGCCAACTCGATACATTTCGTGTCAAACACTCCAAGAAACATTAGAATGCGTCACACTCACATTCTAATGTAAAAACAAAAAGAAGATAAATTTAATTAAAGACTTGGCTGTATGGGCATTGTTTCCTTTGCCTTCTCTAAAACGGGAGAACTTCAACAAAAAAAAACAAAAAAAAAACAACGAAAGCTCTGTGTGTCAACTGTCAGATCAAACGTCAATTTTTGCGCCAATTTTGTTATGATTTGGATTTTGGATCATATATGTTATAATTAATTCAGTGTAATTTGTGTACACTATTTGAGGACGAAGACATTATTTTTCAAAAGTAACCATTGAGGTAAATCATCATTCTTTGACAGTCTAAACTTTGTGAAAATCCTTAAAATTTAACCGTTTCTTTGCAACAAAAAAATCTGTTACGATGCTAACGTTAACATTTTAACTTGACGTTATTTCTTTATACTTGTGTATTCTTATGTGGTTAATTAAGTTATGTTTTCACTATTCGTATTCAATAGGTACGTAAACTCAACGTATCGTATTTTATATTGTTTTTGGTTCATAGTTTTATTTAATGTTTCTTTGATATTTACACAAAAATCTATTAACATGAACAGTTTCGATGTTTAGCTAACAGTTCTGTTTTACTTATTACTACATAAAAATTTACATACCTCGTAAATTTCCTGACAAACAGTACTTTACTTCCATTTCGTTTTAAATGAAGATACCCTTCTTTAGATAGATAATAACAATTCTATTTTTTCTGTTTAATTATTAAATAGTATTTTCAACAAAGTCATAGGAAAAACATAAAATTACTTAAAAGAAGCTTGTCAAAGATCTAAAGAAGAAGTAAGGCTCTAGGCAATAAGTATATCTGCCCCCCTATTCAAATAATTATGTTTAAGGTATAAATAATTTGTGATTACTGCTGCCCTAACTTAATACAACTCTTGGCTATGGCCCTGTATCCATGGTGGCTTCCTGCCGTTAAGGAAAGGCCTCTGTTGGCATTTGAGCTATAATAAACTGCATGGATTTCACTTCTAGCACAACCTGCTGTTTATGTAGGACTTAATAATCATTGTAAGTGACAAATGGGGTGTAGACTGTTTTGAAATATAAATTTAGATTAGACTCGTCAAAAGCATTTATTCCAGCATTTCATATCAATGAGATTAAATAAATATTAAACAGTATTTTCAACAAAGTCATAGGAGAAACATAAAATTACTTAAACAAAGCTTGTCAAACATCTAAAGAAGAGATAAGGCTGTGTGCAACGAGCATATTAGGAATAATAAATTTAAAAGTAACAACAACATATTTGTAATGTGTACAGTATGACTATTAATATAAATATTTTTGGATTCAGTTCACAAAAAAAATTGGAATTCAAAAATAACAAAGAAATTTAGTACATTATTATGAAACTTAACTGTATCTTTAATAGTTTTTAATTAGCACTTCGGAGATAAGCAAATTATAAAGCATGTTTAGAGTTACACCTAATTTCTCAAAACTTAGTTGATCTAACAGCTTGTAGCATTTCCAATCTATGCTTGCCAATAAAAAAAAAGGTATGAAAAATTATCACATACAATCAAAACAATGAACTGTAAATCCCAAAAATATTTGACATTGCAATGTGCATTAATTAAAATACATGTATTTTAAGAGTGTGTATTAATATGTAGATTTAGTCGCCTTACCATATTGAGCTTCCATTGAAAATAGAAAGATTCAGAAATTGCAAAACTCCTGAAAAAAACCCAGACTTTGTATTAAAAGTCCAGTCATTCTAGTTACAAACACTGCATGGCGGATTTGTAAAATAAATATTGACTAGACATTTCTTATGTGCATATGCATTATGAAATAAAATTAAATATATAATACATATCCAATCAAGCCAAACCTAAAAAAACCTGGTCCAATATGATACAGATATCAGCGTAATGTAACCATAATTATGATGGCCTGTTTGACACCTTCGCTCACTGTAGGAACATAACTACAACTACAGAACTCTTTTCTACATTTCTGTTACATTTAGAATATGGAGGGCGCGGTGACCCCTGAAGGCGGGCGCCGTACCCGCGCCGCCCTTGCAGAGATCCCCGCGCGCCTGGACCGGCTGCGAGTCACGCCGCTACAGCCACTCACCAACACCAGGGAGAGATCGCCCGCCCTGCCTTCTGGATACCTCAGTCCAGCTCCGTCGCCCGATGAGTTGCTTATACAGCAAAGAGGTAAGTAATAAAACTGCCCTGCCCCCACAGAGATCCCCGCGCGTCTAGACCGGCTGCGAGTCACGCCGCTGCAGCCGCTCACCAACACCAGGGTGAGATCGGCCGTCCTGCCTTCTGGATACCTCAGTCTAGCGCCGTCGCCCGATGAGTTACTTATACAGCAAAAAGGTAAGTAATACGACTGCCCTGCCCCCACAGAGATCCCCGCGCACCTGGACCGGCTGCGAGTCACGCCGCTGCAGCCGCTCACCAACACCAGGGAGAGATCGCCCGCCCTGCCTTCTGGATACCTTAGACCAGCGGCGTCGCCCGATGAGTTACTTATACAGCAAAGAGGTAAGTAATACGACTGCCCTGACCCCACAGAGATCCCTGCACGCCTGGACCGGCTGCGAGTCACGCCGCTGCAGCCGCTCACCAACACCAGGGAGAGATCGCTCGCCCTGCCTTCTGGATACCTCAGTCTAGCGCCGTCGCCCGATGAGTTACTTATACAGCAAAGAGGTAAGTAATAACTCTGCCCCGCCCCCACAGAGATCCCCGCGCGTCTAGACCGGCTGCGAGTCACGCCGCTGCAGCCGCTCACCAACACCAGGGAGAAATCGCCTGCCCTGCCTTCTGGATACCTCAGTCCAGCGCCGTCGCCCGATGAGTTACTTATACAGCAGAGAGGTAAGTAATATGACTGCCCTGTCCCCACAGATATCCTCGCGCGCCTGAACCGGCTTAGAGTCACGCCGTTGCAACCGCTCAACAACATCAGGGAGAGATCGTCCGCCCTTCTGGATACTTCTGTTCAGCCCCGTCGTCCGACAGCAAAGGTGGAGGTGACTGTTATGTGACTGCTGTAAACTATTTAGCTCTATCAGTGTTACAATGTAAAACCTCTCGTTAACAACCATTGTTTTATCGGACATCAGCCGGGTTTTTTTGTGTTTCCTCCCATGTGGGGGAGCGGGTGTGAAATCCTCATGGATAACTTACAGCCGGCTGCAAGGTTATTGCAGTTTCTTATTGACTAAAACACACTTCGTAGGGGCTGCTTCTGGCCGGCAATACCTTGGAATTCAAATGGGATCGACCCTTGAGAAGGGGACGCGACGATGCAGGCAAAGCCCGGTGCAAAATGCTTCTCTTTGTCTAGCAACGAATCGATAATATCGTACCGGTGTCCAGTAAAATTCGCCGATAACATGAGGCCTAATCATTAAGTAATTTAGCACTAGCAGATAACTAACAAAGTATTTTTTTAAAAATATCTAGGATTTTTTTGTTTTATTTCAGGTCGAAAACGATTGCCGGTCACATGGTCCCCGGATATTGATTTCAAGCGTAACTCTTCCTTTCATTCTTTGGTGCGTACTCCACCTAAAACATCAGGCCGGTTCTCGCCACCTAAGCTAGGTGTAACATTGCGCTCTACCCCAAGGAAGCGGCTTCTCTTAGGCGATTCTGAGAGAATCCCTTTGACACCAGAAAAGATAGATTTTAGTGACATCAGCACTCCGGAGAAATTTAAAATTCAAACTAGTCCCGTCAAAAGTTTACCACCACTGAAAAAGTCCCGCATCGAGAAACTGGCTGAATGTAATGGTCCTATAGATGTAGCTCTGAAAGGCTTAAGTCCCACTCAGCTCATCAATATGATTAAGACGATAACTTACACGCACCCGGAAATCGAAAAACAGATACGTAGGGAGATGCCTGTGCCAGACTTATCTCCGTTAGAAGAGAGGTTGATTTATTTGAAGTCGAATATCTTCAAAAGCCTGCCGACGTCGCGTTTGACTTCAAAAACGGATTCGCCAGCGTACTCGCGCGTCGCTACGCATTTGGCTGCATTCAAAAAGTGTGTCGTAGAACAAGGAAAGGTCTTAGTGGAATCTCAGCATTGGGAGTCTGTGATTCAATATGTGTTGCTTGCGTGGAGTTATGTTAAATCTACTCCTGTTTGGGACAATCACCCGCACAATACTCAGCGTAAGCAATGCTTTAAAGCGCTCACTAATTTCTGTATGACGGCCCTAAAGAAAGGTAATCTCAATCAGGATTTCCTTATCGATATTCAGGATAAACTGCAGGGAATGATATCCGATAATGACGATATCCAATCCTGTCTTAAGTATATTCAAGGACAGTTGCAGAAATTCAATTAGAATTATTGTTAGCACAATAAACTGACGATATACAATAAATTATTGTTTAATAATACACCAGTTATATTACCCAAGAAGCACAAGCTTGAATGTTTTAATTACCTTTATTATTTGTAGAATATTTTGTTGAACATGGCAGATTTAGGTACATTGGTGCAATAGCTTGGATCCATTTTTAGTTGCCTAAAAACGGCATAAATTGCCTTAACTTTGTCAATAGAAATGTTTTTATAAGGTATATAATATCGTTGTCGTAAAGCACTTGCATATCAGCGAGATTGGATTGGCACCAACTATTGTATCAATGTAAATTTGCCATTAATGATTTTTAAATATATTTTTTCTTATTAAGACTTTATTCTACTGAAGCCATGTAGTTCAAATGATCTTAGAATAATTCTACAATAAGTTGTATTAGTTATATTTGATTTAGATTTAATTAAAAATGCTCATTTTGCATTGTAGGAATTACTTTAATTGTTTATTCGAATATCGCTAAAACTGAATTAACTCCTATTGTCGAAGTGAGTATTGTTCCAGTTAGTATACCACTATACCAGTAATATGTTAAAAAGAAAAAAAGAAGTTAGAAATCTTTTTCACTTTTATTGTTATTATGTTTTGTTTTGGTAGGTACCTACCTAGACTCGATAATATTAATGTAATAATTATCTATACGATTTGATACGGTTTTATTACCAGTGGTTTTAATCGTGCCTTATAATACGAGTAATCATAGAAGTTTGCCTTATATTTTTATTGTGACAAAATATTTCAGGATATTGTTCATGTTAAGATGAGTGTTTTTTGTGTGTAGCGATAAGCATATTTTACGCTTAATAAAGTGTATTTTTCATTAGTTTTGTCTAATTGTTTTAATAAAAATGGCACATTTATTTAAATGGCCAGTAAAAAAAAATATAATAATTGATCCTCAAAAAATACAATCGGTAGCCTAACATAATAGTCGGAGAGCCGGCTGTATAAAAGTCTATGGATCAGATACATGAATCATTTCTGGGATATGAACAATTAAGCCATAGGTCTAGAGGTCGACACCCCTGAAGTTGCTTGATTTTGCCCGCATGCAAAAATATGACGTCACTTCCGGTTTTTATTTTAGGTGTAATTGTAACTTATCAAATACGTGAAGAAAATGTATGTCAAACGAAAGTTTTTCATGAGTAGAATAGAAATGTCAAGGGTCGACAAGCTCTATTTATTCGCTACCCTGAGTCGACCACCATTAATTTTTTTTTTGCCATCTAATACATGTATTTGTTTACGATTTTCTGAAACTAGAACCTCTCAAATGACTGAAAAAAATTGGTCGATACCTTTTATTTGCCCGGATCTGACTGTCGACTTAGTTTGAAGAATTAAAAAGCCTATACAGCCGGTTCTCGAGAGCCGTCTGTATAAAACTCCTATGACATTTCAATTCTACTCATCAAAAATTTTCCTTTGACATACATTTTCTTGATGTGTTTGATAAATTACAATTACACCTAAAATAAAAACCGGAAGTGACGTCATAATTTTGCATGCGGGCAAAATCAAGCAACTTCAGGGGTGTCGAGCTCTAGACCTATGGCTTTATTGTTCATACTAACCAAAGATTTTTCATGTATCTGATGATCCATAAGACTTTTATACAACCGACTCTCCGACTAATAAGCAAGGCCTGTGCCCCATCATTGGGGACATTAAATAATAATAGGCTGGTGATGATGATAACGTACCTAGTCCGTTATATTAATAATAATAATAACTTTATTTGGAACAAGTGCAAATGTAGATAAAATTATGTAACGTTAAATCTGCTATAGTTTTACAAAAACTGTGTTGCAGAATTAACAAATTATATTGTGCAAACAATCAACATCACGTTCAATATACGCGTTCAGTCCTATGCATACTGACTAAATTGATATTATTCCAAACATCCTCGATACTTTATAAATAAAAGTATACGGGTGAACTTGATAACCTTTTTTTTGGCGATAGCGCGTTTTATCAAAATATTCATGCCATCAAGGCCACAAAATTCGCAAATCAGTTGCAATATACTTAACGGGCCTGCGGGTTTTTAGCTGTAATTCAGGTTATTAGAGCTATATATATTGGTTTGCTCCAACTACTTGTACTTTGTTAAAGTACAAGCGATTAACTTGTGCAACGGCATATGCTAGTAATATTATATAGTGAAAAACAGTGAATGCGGTGTAAAAATAGTTTTTAATTTCATTTATGAACTTCAGTGAAAGTGAGAGAGTTCGTGTAAGTCATACCGTGCACTAGACGGCTACGACCACGACCAGTGGCCACAACGACCAGATTAACTAAAGAAACCATATGAACATTCTAACACACCAATTATTAGCCTAGCCTTAAAGCAAGCACTGTATGGCTTATGTTATGGGATACCTACAGGGATAACGGATTAATAATAAAATTTATTTATTTGCAATAAACATGGTCCGCTCCAGTCCAAAAGTTTAAAAACGTCTTCCAGCGCAGCTATAGACGGACTTGGCATCAACATAAACGGCGAGTACATGACGCACCTTCGATTTGCAGATGATATCGTAGTCATGGCTGAGACCATGGATGACCTTGGCACAATGCTCGGCGACCTCAGTAGGGTGTCCCAACAAGTGGGTCTCAAAATGAACATGGACAAGACGAAAATCATGTCGAATTCCCATGTCGTACCCACTCCAGTGACTGTTGGGAGCTCTACACTGGAAGTTGTTGACCAGTACGTATACCTGGGACAAATAGTCCAACTGGGTAAGTCCAACTTCCAGAAAGAGGTTAATCGACGAATCCAACTCGGCTGGGCAGCGTTCGGGAAGCTACGTAGCATCGTCTCGGAACATCTACCGCAGTGCCTCAAGACGAAAGTCTTCAATTCGTGCGTGTTGCCAGTGATGACATACGGAACCGAGACGTGGCCGCTTACAATGGGTCTTGTAAGAAGGCTCAAAGTCACCCAAAGGGCAATGGAGAGGGCTATGCTCGGAGTTTCTCTGCGTGATCGAATCAGAAATGAGGAGATACGCAAGAGAACTAAAGTCACTGACATAGCCCACAGAATTGCAAACCTTAAGTGGCAATGGGCAGGGCACATTGCTCGCAGGACCGATGGCCGTTGGGGCGGAAAGGTCCTCGAGTGGCGACCGCGTACCGGGAAACGCAGTGTTGGCAGGCCCCCCACAAGGTGGACCGACGATCTGGTAAAGGTCGCGGGAAGCCGCTGGATGCGGGCAGCATGGGACCGATCGTTGTGGAAATCCATGGGGGAGGCCTATGTCCAACAGTGGACGTCTTTCGGCTGAAATGATGATGATGATGACGAATAAACATGGTATTACAGGTCTTAGTAAATTTAAAAGAAATAAAAAATTAAAAACCCGTCTGCTTAATTATACTTCAAATAACAACTGAAAAGAAAAAAAACAAGTCCAGTAGTCTCTAATTCTGTCAATAAGGAACAAAGCTACTTTAACAGCCGGGACCCATTAGATATTCAAGAATACATAATATTTTTCAATAATGGGTCCCAACTGTTAAAGTAGCTTTGTTCCTTATTAACAGAATTATAGACTACTGGACTTGTTTTTTTCTTTTCAGTTGTTATTTGAAGTATAATTAAGCAGTCGGGTTTTTTATTTTTTAAATTTATTTTTTTTATTTCACACTTTTTAGTTAGTATTTGAAGACGGTATATACCGTAGTCTTGTTACTTCAGTAAGGGAATTAATATCGCGGGAATTATTAAGTATCTTGCGGTGGTCTAAAAGATTGATTTATTAAGATATATAGAGACTTTACCAGCGGGGTCAAGGCTACAGATGGGCCTCAATTTGCGCAAAAATGTGTGAAGTTAAATCAAGTCGTCACATAAATATCTAATGTATGTAAATTTTATAGTAAACTAGCACATATTTAACAAAAAGTCATCTTTTGTTTATGTTGTTTTTAGAAGTTTAGCAGTAAATATAAAATTCATTTACTTTTATTCGTTGCCTATTTAAAATTGGCAGTGGCAGCATTGTCGTGTCAACGTCCGACTCTAATACCTCGTTTAGACTATGCCCATGCCGCTGCCCCTCGCGTTGCCGGCAATAATTCCCTAAATATTGCTGCGGCATGATTGAGAGAAGTATGTGTTTACATACTGCCCTACCTCTCACTTCGCTTCAGAGTTTCGGCAATGGCCGACGTCGAAGTAATAACAGCGGCCGAGCTGTGTCTTTTTGCAATCCATAATTATGTTCGAAATTTAAATAATTTTAATATAAATATATTAATAAATATTAGTTATAATTTTTATTATTTTAAAGCATGTAACTGCTTTATGTTTAAATCTAAAGAAAATATAACAAGAAAAAAATCCACGCGGATCAGGCAGCAGACGGGACTCGAACCCGCACCCTTCGCAAAAAAAAATCTAGTTATATTTTCTTTAGATTTAAACATCAAGCAGTTACATGCTTTAAAAAAATAAAAATTATAACTATAAATGCTATTTCTTCTTTCAAATGTACTTGTAAAAGTATGTATGTAATGTACTTGTAAAAGTATTCATTTGACATTGTGGTTTACCTATAATGCGAAGAGATGGTGCTGCCTTGCAGCTTAAGAATGGCTAGAGGAATTTCGAAGCGGTCCGTAAGGGCCGCGGTAGCATAATTGGTCAGTGCATTCGCCCGGATTGCGAAGGGAGCGGGATCGAGTCCCGTCTGCTGCCTAATAAATATTAATTATATTCAATTAATTAATATTTTTTTAATTTGATGTCTGGCAGTGGCAGTGGCATGACGAGTATCGTGTTTACATACTCGTCATGCCCACTTCCTTGCTCACTTCCCTCCTTACTCGCGCTGCATGTAAACGAGGTATAAGATTGTGATATACACAACACAAATGCAGTGTCATATCCTTGTCTCATAATTTGATATACCTACATAATTCACAGAAGCCCAATATGTAGATGCCAGAAGTTAACTTCAAATGTTGTTAATCACCCTATATACAATACCAATCAATGACGTTTATGTCGCATATTGCAAATAGTGCAATCATGGCAATTATTTTCCAAATATTTTTTATGTATAAAAAATACCGAATAAGTTACCGCTGTTAAGCACAAATACTAAGTATCTTTTACAAATATAATCAAATACTACTTACTTATATTACTTACTTTATTTTTAAATCTTTTTCATCAATTAAATACCTGTACATACATCAATTTAATACATGTTATCCTAACTATCTATATTAATATTATAAAGAGGCAAGATTTGTATGTTTGTAACAAATAATCTGTCAAACTACTGAACCGGTTTCAAATATTAATTCATCATAAGGTAGCTACATTATTTATAATTACATTTTTCTTTATTTAAACACATTTTGTCCGAGTGACATAGGCCTATATATTTTATCCCGATAAAATAAATGCCCGGGTGGATCACTAGTAAGTATAATATAATATTATAGATGCGAAAGTGAGTTTGTTTGTTGCGCTTTCGTGCCTTAATAGCTAAATCGATTATAATGAATTCCCATTGAAGTGGATGGGAACTTGGTTCTTTGCTACAACATCGCAATACTTATAGACGTAGGGTGATAAAAGGGGTGATTTACCTGTAAAAATCTATATTATTTACTTTGAATTTTGCAGAATTATCGTTTATAATTACAAAACCAATATTATCGCGAGCTGATTAATAAATACAGGGATTCCAATAAGTATGTACCTACTGGCGAAAAATGGGTTATTTGTCATTATATTAAGTAAACCTTTTTTGTAACATTAAGTAATATCGTTAAAAAAAAACAGTATAATTCTGAGTTTTTCATTAAAATGCAATAATCATAAATACATTTTAAGATAATTTATTTTATCATTTAATAAGAAGGATTATTATTATCATTTAATATCACAGTTTTATTGTAAGGACTTCATATAGGATCTAATACTGCGAGTAGCCCATTTTTTTCTTTTTTGCCTAGGTTTTATTCACGTTTATAAACACCTACATATATTAAATTTCTTCTCTTAGTATTCCCGCAGTCTACTCCTACATAGAACACCGCGCTATCACTTTGTCATTGTTGTAACTTTTTAAATATTTGTCGAAATGACATAGAGAGATTTAAATAAAACTAAAAGTTTATCGTTTTAGTTTTATTTAAATATCAAAAGCGATAAAAGTGTTTGTTTTGATAAAAAATAATTTGTTAATACAAAATGTACATTTTGGAAATATATATCAAGTAATATTTAAGTTTTGATTCACTATTTTAGCGGTAA